GCTTGTCCGTGTAAATAAAACTATCTGACAATTCCAATCATCCTTAACAAGATTTTTAATAGCAATAACAAGCTGGTTTATATCTTGTTGTCCTCTGTACAGGTTGCACAATTATGTAACACAAAGATTTGAAGGTTGCCAGCAGTGCAACCAGGTGGTGAAACGTGTGCATTTATGTCAGATGATAAGGAATATTATATTTGCTCGGAATTGCCAACGGAACCCACACTCGTTGCAGATTTGATGTGGACGATCCGGATCCAGATTTGATTCCCTGTTTCCATAAGCTTACAAGCAGACCGCTCTCAAAAATATACAATCCAAGCGCTGTCTCTCTATAAGCTTCTATGCTATTGAATGTCAAGCTGGCATAGCTCTCTATTCTTTTTGTAACAACAATTTATAGAATTTTTTTTACTTTTCCTATATTGAATCTAATATATTGATGATCAAAAATGCTAAAAAATGTGCTAATTTAGTGATACAGAGAGAAGTTTATTGTTTCTCGGCGTCATTGCAACGTGATAATAAAATAAAGTAAAATAAAAATAAAAATAGTCGATCATAGCTAATTTAGAACTAAGAATGTGGTTATAAAAATGAATATGATATTATGTATAAATGCGATTTTATACTAAATTAATTAACTCTATAAATAAATTTTATATTTAATAAGGAAAAGATAAAATATAAAATTTTATAAAAATTTTTGTATGAATGGAAATTCAATGCTTTAAGACAATAAGAGAGAAGTTAGATGTTAGAGCCTTAGAGGAGGAAATGATTGCCCCTTTCTTTTATAAAAATTGAACTTAAAGTGCAGTTACTTCAACTTTAACCATTCGCTCTTTAGTAATTAATTGAAATGGTTGACTCTTTAGTAATTAATTCACATTTATATTTTACAATTTTAATCTTATGACATCTTAAACTTTGCGAATGACCTATTATGTACTTGAACTTATTAATTTTGATAATATTACACACTTTTGAACACTAATATCATTAATTTTTAGAGTGTTTTTTTTTTTTGTAAAAATATCAACTTGATATATAGTTAGTATGACTTTTGAAATAATAATTTCAGAAATTTTAACTTTTTAATGATTGTTTATTTAATCTAATTTTATAGATTAAAGTGTTTAATAAAATAGTTTAAAAAATTAAAATGTTTAATAGGTGTAATTTTATAAATTCAAATATACGATAGATTAGTCACAAAATTTAAGATGTCATAAGATTAAAGTTATAAAATTTAGAGTGAATTTATGTATTTAAGCAAAGAAAATAAAACGGAGAAAAATAGAAAGAATCTCCACCGTTGAAAATTAGGGTCCCCAAAAATCTTCAAAGTCCAGCTGCAAGATTCCAGCCAGTCAAAACTCAAAAGCATCTTCATTTAGCAGATTCATTGATTTTATATAAAGAAAAAGAAAAAATAATAATAATCGAAACATTCCATGACAAAGACCATACAGTTCTTGTCTTAGAAAGTTCTTAAACAAAATGTTAAAAGGTCCCCACATATAGGAACGGATCATGTGTATTGTGTGGTAAGCCCACCCACTTTTCTTGGTCAAATGACTCACTTCTGCATTTTCAGGGTTAAGTTCCTATTACAACATTGCCTTTCACTTCTTTGGAAAATTTGTTGTTTTCAATTGATTGGTTTAAGCTTGGGGTCTAGCAAGGGACTTAATGTGCTTTTGAGTTGTACAGTCTTTAGTAGGTGTATACTGTGTTAGTGGTAAATCGGTAATAGTGCTTAATTTTATCCCCAATTTCTCGACTTATACCTAATTCTTTTTATCACATTTAAATTTTAATTCTTATTTTTAAGAATTCTCAATTTTATAAATGTGGAATACAAAAATTTCTTTTACCGATTTAATTTAATTTTAATTAGCGAAATGCCAATTGGACAGCTTCATGGCTTAAAAAATATTAATTTTTTTAAAAATAATATGCTAATAACACTCTTTCTCTTTCAGCACAACAAAAACATTGAGCATGTTAACTTTTGGATGGTGTTTGGCTGAAAAATTGAGTAATTGAATATTTTTAAGTGACGAATTGAAATGAAAAAGCGACGAAAGGAAATAGGTAACGTTAAAGGATGATGGAAAAATGAAGCCCTAGTAATAGTAATAGTATTGATTGCTTTTCTTATATTGTTTTTCTCCATGTTGTTGTCACCATTTCCATTTTCATTGTCATCTTTTCAGTTTCAGTCATGTAGGTAGGTTGTCATTATAAGCCTACCAAGAGTGGGCCCATACACTCTTGCATTACACATATCACATATGGCCTACAAATTCTTTTGGTTTAGGTCCCACATCTTAAGTGACAGCCCAAAAATCCATACAATGCTTTTTTCATCTTCATACCCATTTGAGATCATTTTTTTATGCTCCTTTAATGTGGCCAAGATAATATTTATGCTCCGTTGCTTATAAATAAATTTAAAATATAAAATTTATTTATAAATAAATTATAATAAAATTCATTTGTGAATAAATTTTCATGTTTGGTATCATTAATTTAAAATATATTATTCGATTGACTTCCACATAATTATTTATGCATTTATTAAATTCATAATTTAAAATTTATTTTCATTTGTTTCCTAATGGTTAGTCTATCAATTAGATCCTTTATCCATAGAATATATGTAATAAAAATTATATTACATAAAATATTGCATTAATTTAATAAATAAAAAGATGAAAAATATTAAAATAAAAACACAACAATAAGTTATTTTAAAAAATAAAATTTTTAAAAGGTTTTGGTCAAGTTTGATAAAATAAATAATTTAAATAATTAAAAGAGTGAAAAATTGACTTTGTAGATAGAGAATGATAGTTTTATTGTAAAAAGTTAAATTGTTTAGTTTGTGGAATTCATTTGGAAATTCCAACTATTTTTATGGGATTCAGTGTAGTCATGTCAAATTCCTAAAATTAAAATCTATATTTTTTTTTCATTCCAAATGTAAAAATAAAGATTTCAAAATGAATTTTTCAAAATTTTGTGAAATTCATTTATTTCAAATAAGAGGTTAGTGTCCCAAATGGACACTCTAGTAAACTAATTGAATGTTTGTTTTGTAAATTAAAAATTTAGGAATTGAAGTTCTAAAAACTGTTTTTTTCGTTTTTTTAACAAAAATAATATATTGATACTTTTAATAAAAATTTTATTTGAATTATATCATAATAAAGTAAAATTTATGGGCAAAGACTTTAATGTAAGATTTCTTTTGGTGGATCGAAATAAAATGTGATATAATGTAAGTAAATGTATTTCTAATATATCACTCATAAAATACCAAAAAGCCCTCCTAATATTTTATGATGGAATGTTTAGAAAGAATATTTTGACATGGGTATGTGATAATTTTTATGCATGATACATGTTATTTGTTTACCAATGAAAATAAAAATGTCATTTTAAATAATTTATGAATTAATGAATGCACTCACCTAATAAATTTCAATTCCTTGAGGAGGATCATATAGAGTGTCAGTACCCATAAAAGGATCAACAAAATATCTAAAAACAGTTCAAGAAATCCAATAATAAACCCATTGTAATAGCAAATAATTTCATACACAAGATCCATTTGGAGCCTACAAAATTCTAACTATTCATTTTTGGGTGACACCAATAATTCATAGGTGCAATTTGGCTGCTACAAACAATCACAAAATTAATAAAATTCATAAACTGAAATTGGTGGTTCTAAGTTGTTTTTTACAATATGTACAAAGAGACCACATCAAGATTAGCATGCTTCCAATTAGCTAGGTTGATAAGACTCCTAACAAAGTAGAAAAGGGAGGAAAAGAGCCTCAAATACCTAAAGGGAGAGAGAGAGAGAGAGAGAGATAGAGTAATTAGGCAAACCAAATTGGGCCCTTCAAATTGTATCATCCCATAACAAACCCTAACTCTTTGCACCCAATTTTTGTAGTTGTCCATTTGTTTGTACAGCAACTCTAACCAAACAATTCAATGGTCTTTATAAGTTTATATAGCATGTGATGCTTTTTAGCCACCAAAAGGAAAGGTTTGTGAAAGGATATGAACCTAACTAATATGTTTTTTTTTTTTTTTTAAAGTGAGCATAAAGTGAGGTCCTTACCCATTCTTGGCACTATCAGTTTGGTCCTTGTGGACCTTTCTTTTACCTCTCCAGATCTTTATCAACATCTCTTCTTTTATTATGATTTGAAAATGACTTGAGGTATCTTATTATTTACCAATGTGCTCTTTTTTTAAAAAAAAAAAAAAATTAAATTAACTTTATAAAAATATATAGAATTTCCACAATAGCTTTATATCTTAAAATGAATTTTATATATTAAAATGTAAAATATCAACAGAAGAATTCATTTTTCTTAACCAATTAATTTTCTTTGATAATTATCTGCAAATGAACATTCATTTTGCTCCTAATACATTTTCTTTGCCTTCTGCATGATAATAAAATTCATGGGTATTGTTCCCAATACATTTTCTTAACCAATCTTTATACTTTTCTTTATAGAGTAATGGCTATATGTATATTTGAAAATGAGGGCATTTAAAAATGAAATTATTAAATAATTATTGAATGATTAATAGAAAAAAAAAGAAGAAGAAAACATATAGATATATACAATGGAAAGAGTATATCCCACGAAAACCAAGGGAATTGCATTCTTGAAAAGATTAATCAACACACAAAAGGTTACAACTATAGGTCTGTATAAGGGGGGATGGCCATGATTACCATCACACCTTTTTTTGACAACCATCAACAATAGCTCTTACAAGAAAAATAAATAAAGAAAATTTAAAAAAAAAAAAAAAAAAAAAAAAAAAAAAAAAAAAAAAAAAAAAAGAAAGAAAGGTTACAGAATGCAATCTCTCTATACCACACTTCCTAATTAATTTAAAGCTATATTAAATTGTTAAACTTGCCTATTTGAAAAATTGGGAATCTTCTTAATTTAAAAAAAAAAAAAAAAAAAAAAGGAAAGAAAAGGTTACAAATGCCAATCTCTTTACACACTTCCTTAATTAATTTAAAGTATATTAAATTGTTAAACTTGCCTTTTGAAAATTGGGGGAATCTTCTTATCAAGCCTTGTGAGGAGGGCACTGATAGCACTTGGTGAATAGACCAAATGAATCAATTTGATGTATGAAATTGAGCAAACTTGCCCATCCTCCAAACCCAAATCCCACAATAAAAACCCATACTACTACAAATAGATTCACACAAAACAATCCAACCCAACCTCCTAGAAATGATGGTGGCCTCTCTACTGCATTCTGTTCAAGGGAAAAAAAAAAAAAAGTAAAAAAAAGACCAAATGAATTCGCATCAAGGACCGTAAAATTACAAATTTGAACCATAATCAAAACCTAATTAGTGAAAAGAAAAATGAATTAAGATGAGTAATTACCTCCCGGGCCGACGCGGTAGAGAAAGTTATTATGTGTGCTAATGCAGGAATTATATAGACCGTGAAGCTGACTAAAAGAGATCCAACAGTTGAGTTAATAGGACCAAAAAATGGGAAGATAATAGCTAGGAACCAAATTGGTACCACCACAGGAAGTCTAGCCAATGCTCTCTTGAACAGACTCTTTGTTTCGTGTACTCTAATGAATTTCTCCCACACAAAGTATAAAGGGGTGCAAGCAAATCCAAATGTTATAAACTGCACCAAAAAATAAAAATTTATGTTACCCTTTTTAGAAAATAATCTAATTCTAAAATTACATGGATAAATTTAAAATTTTCAAACCTGATGGATTAGCATGAGAATAACAGCAGCGTCTCTGTATCCATTTCTTGGGAGTAAGGAGAGAGCATTAGCATGTGTAAGTAGTAAATCCCCAAATGCCCAATAAACAGCAGAAGCTGAAGGTAGTGTTAGGGTTAATACATATAATGTTGCCAACAAATATATTAGCTTGAATTTCTGTGGCTTCCACATTGCATGCATAATTTCCCTGCAATAATACAATTCCTTAATTAATTAATTTTCTGTTCGGATTTAAATTCCTAATCTTTTATACTATAAGATAAACGCTCGATCATTAAACTACGAGTCAAATAACATTATGACTTGAGATATAACATTATTTGTTAGGGGAGAATAAAGTAATTAGAAAGGTGATTATCAGTTTCTGAGGAAAAGATGTTCCCTTAGTTGGAAACTCTTTCCAGTAATTATGGATACGTGATTAAGTGTATTTATACACAAATACTATAATTATGAAAATATTAAACAAATTAATTATTGTTTATTAAATATATAGAGAGAGCGAGTTCTTACACTGTGACAGCATGCCCACCAAAGGTGTAAAGAATGTTGGTGGCCCCAGTAAAGTAGAGAACCATTTTGGTTGGACCAGAGTGTTTCACTCCTTCAACCTTCAAATCAAAATAAAAAGAAAGAGAAAGAGAAAGAGAAAGAGAAATTAATTAATAAATTAACAATCCAAAATTGGACTTTATAAGTAGATTAATACTTGTTAATTAATTAATTAACAAGAGGGTACCTGTCCATGAGTAAGGGAAGCAATTGTGAGATACCAAGCAGTATAAGTAGTCATAATAAGGCCTAAGAATGACCAAATTCTATAATTATGAAATGAAGGAATGAAGACAGTAGTTGCACAACATGCTCCAAATATGTAGGTCCATGTCCTCTTGTCCAGATTGTCATTAATATAGTAAATATTGCTGCAATTAGCAATTTTATTCATAAAAAAAATTAGGGAAAAAACCTCACATATATAGTGAATTTTTCATATTATATGATAATATATTTATATTTATGTACCTTGCACAAGCAATCAATTGAATCACCGATCCAAATAGAAGAAAAGTGCAATTGAAAAATAGGCCTGCATTTCTCCAGTGTCTCCCTAGCAACCCATCAAGCACTTCAAACCACTGGAAATTAATAATAACCCAAGTGAGATTATCTCAAAATGAAAAAAAGAATAATATTATTGAAAATTTTTCATTTACTGAATTTCATTACAACTTCGACTTAAAATGGTGCTAGAACCATCTCTAAAGTATTAAAGTTACGAATTAATTAAATCTAATTCGAGTCTGATTAACCTTAAAAATAAAAAATAAATGCTAATAAATAAAAATGGTAATTACCTGAATGACATGATTCCTAAAATCAACCTTTTCTCTTTCCTTTCTAGTTCTGTACTCAACGTATAGAACACTTATAAGGTAAGCAGTCCAACTTCCCATCAAACCATAGAATAGTTGAAAAAGAATTCCAGATAACATTCCAAGTTGTGAAAATGAGTAAGGCAATGTAAGAAGCACTTGTGCAACCTACAAATTCAAAATTTTCAAAAATGAAATGAAAATAATAATTAGCTTTCACTGCAATATATCTAAAACAAAAAGAAGAAGAAAAAAAAAAATAATGGGTTATTATTAATAAAATATATTGCCTGATTAGAAGAACAGCTAAACCAAGCATCGTATACAGAGCCACCATGCCAAAATAACTCTGAAAATTTGGTCTTAGAGGACTTTGAATTGTCTTCTTCTCTCTCCATTTCTATGTAATTTCCAGCTATAACAGTTTCAACCTTCTCAGCAGCCATTGTTATAGCCTTGTTGTTACTGATAGCCAGCAATGTTGGGAGAAGCAATGGACCAATTTTGAGACTATAAATAGCTAAAAGAAAGAGTTGCTTTTCTTTCTTTTTTACTTTACACAAGTTAAGGCTTCTCCTCCTTCTCCTCCTCCTCCTCTTCCTCCTCTTCTTCCCTTCTTTATAAAAGATTTTTGGGTGCAATAATTGAATCACCTCAGTGGGGACCTATTTATGTCACCCTTTGCAATTCTATAGCTCATTTACATTTTCTCTAAATATATGATTTAACCGACAAAAAAATCTTATAGTATCTTAAATTTTAAACTCTAAATTTTACTTTTTGTAATAATCTCACACATTAACACATTAGTAATGATAATTTATAAATTTATTTGGCTTTTATATGTAAAATATTAATTTGATATGTGGTTAGTATAGTTTTTTGAATAATAATTTTCACGTTTTTCAATTATTAAATAAGTATTTAATCAATATAATTTTAGAGATCGACATTTTTAATGGGTCACATTAAAGTGTGAAATATGTGTAATTTTATTAATTAAAGTGTTTAATTGGTCAAAATTAAAATTAATGATGCTATAAAATTTATTATTGTGAAAAAACAAGAATGACGTTTACATTTAGACTTATAGTTTCATAGAGGTTAACTTTAAATGCTGTGTTTGATTAGGGAAAAGGAGAAAACAAAAGAAAAATTTTTATAAAAGAGGTAAAAGGGATCACTTTAGAGTTTTTATTTTGCATTTTTGTTGGAAGTGTTACTGCGAAAGGTATTATTGTGTATCTTAAATATATTGATAACTAATAAATTTGATATATTTAATTAAGAAAAATCCAAAATAATTATTCAAATGATTTTTTTTATAAAATATTTAAATAAATTCCAATTTTAGTTATATGTAAAAAAAACTAGTTGGCATATATATATATATATTTTTTTTGAGTTTTTACTTTTGTACATAGTAAAATTATATAATTTGTTCAATCATGTGGTTTGATTGGTTTTTCCACCTATGTCGATACCTTTCAACCATAAGAGTTTTTACTAATTTGGTGAGTAAAGGGGAGAATTACACTTGTTGTATAGTTTATAACATCCTTGGAGCTTGTTAGGCCTCCTAATGAATAAAAAAATTATAACTCGAAAATAAATTTATAAAACAAAAGAAAGTAACCATAATTTAGTAATAATATTTCTTCTATATTTTAGAAATAAAAATAATAATCATACCAAACGGGTCACAAATATTTATATGTACTTAAAAAAAAAAAAAAGATACTGGCAAGAGAGCACACTTTCCAGTTTCCATCTCTTCTATTTATATGCATGCTATTTAACAACTGAAGGAAAGTTATAATTCCATTTTCTTTCCATTCCTTTCTTATTTTCCATCCTCACATCCAAACGTATGGTTAATTTCAATATTTCATTGGTGGGTGACATAGCCAAATACCCTGCATGTGACAAAATCATTTGACTGTAATTTATTTTTTATTTTTCCTCTTAGATGGGCTTAAAAAGAAGGGTAGTGGACACGAGCTCTCATGCATTGCACGAGCGGGGTGGCCCACCAAAGTCCACTTTTTAAAATAACAAAACAGCCCATGTAATACTTGATTTAATTACGTTAAATTTATTAATTAAGGATGTTTTAAATAAAAATAGAATATAATTATATGAGTCTTAATAAGGTTTAATGGAGTAGTCTAAGATGGAGTGAATGATTACTTAGGGGTGGGCTTTAGTGCTAAACATGATTAGTACCGCACGTGTGCCAACTGGTATTCCAAAAGATTTAACACCTTTTTCCTTTTTTTTTTTTTTTCTTTTAAAAGTAAAGAATGGAAATAATTTTTTTTATTAGGCATTTGATTTTGTTATTGCAAGTGTCTTTTCTCTTTTGGCCCATTGATTTGGCATACCAATCATGATATTGAATGGCTGCCTCAAAGGGTAGGCAAATTTTGAATTAAATGACATGTTTGGATAAAAAGAAATTTATAATTCATTTTGTGATTCCTTAAAATGAAAATGGAAAGTGGGAACCAGAAAAGAAAATTTAATGTTGGGAAGGGTTCTTTTTTTAGAAAAAAAAAAAAAAAAAATGGGCCTTTCATTCTAATATGCAAAGTTGAGATAGATGGGCCATATTTGCACCTAGGAGACGTAAGTTCATTTCATTTTGGACTACCACCATGTGATTTGCTTTGACATTTGTGAGCCACACTTGATTCAAAATTAGCTGTTATTTTTATTATCTCTTTAAAAGAATAAATAATTCAAGATGTTAAAAGAAGAAATAATTATTTTTGTCTTGATTATCTCTTTAAAAGAATAAATAATTCAAGATGTTAAAAGAAGAAATAATTATTTTTGTCTTGATTATCTCTTTAAAAGAATAAATAATTCAAGATGTTAAAAGAAGAAATAATTATTTTTGTCTTGATTATCTCTTTAAAAGAATAAATAATTCAAATGTGAAGATATATATGAGTTTGGTAGATAAAATTGAATATTTTGATAAAAAGAAGCAATTAAAAATCCTTAAATGAGATTATTCTCATATTTATAAAGGGTGTAAAAATATTGAGAAAAAAAAATTATAAAAAATTGGCACCTATTAATCATTTTGCTTCTAAATACAATGGATCATATTTAAAAGATGATGATTTCTATGTATGATAATTTATAACATGCCTATGTTGAAGAAAAAAAATAAAATGTGTATAAAAATAATATGCACATTATTCAATAAATATATCAAATTACTATTCTATTTGTATTTTAATTTTAAAATAATCTCGATCTCGGTTGCACAATTATAATTATTTTTTTCATTATTTGACAAAATATGTAACACTGACCATATGAAGTGTGTCAATCAGTGATGATCTAATCGTTTTTCTCATTTATATAAAGAGTGAGAAATTTTGAGTTCAAGCAGTTTTCATTAATTTTGTGAGCCAAAGAGAGAGTCATCCTTACACCGGTCCATAGTGTTGGGTCTTTCAACAAATTAAAAGAACACATGAAGCGTTATAACATTCCCTTTTCTGAAATAAATTGAAAATATTCAATAAAAATCATATCACTTCAGTAACTTTTTATTTGAAAACTTGGGAATACAACTATTTTCTTTAGAACAAGCCCTTAGTTGATGTTTGGTAAATAAGTAACCAAATAATCAGGAAATGGTGGATATCCTAATTAATAAAATTGGTCCCCTTTAACTAAGCATGATTGAAATTGAAATCACAATCAAGATTGATTGATTACCTTCTTTAATTATACATGTACAATGATAATTGAAATTGAAATTGAAGTCACAATCAACATGGATTCATTACCTTCTTTAATTATATATATATGTACTAAGATAACCTATTTATTTCTCTAATTAACCCCACAAATTAACTTTTGTTAAACTAAAAATTGCCCAAATTTAATTATATTATTCTTCTTGTAGGGAACTAAAAATATATAGCAATCCTCATTAATTCTCGATAGCTACAATACAATAATGAGCCTGTCTGAAACATATTCCAAAATATTTTTTTTTCTTGTATAATCAATACATATTTTTTTTTAAAAGAATAAATATAGATTGTATTTGATATATGCCTATATGGGTATAGATTTCTTGACCCACCTTTCATGTGCAAGTGTGAGCATTATAAGCCTTTTTTCTATGCATAAAAAGAAAGGGGACCATAAAAAAAAGAAAGAGAGAGAGTTGGCAAAAGTATGAAATGGATTGCAAAATCCCTAACTTTGACTTGGTTAGAACTTGCACTTCAATATTGTCTTTCCAAGTACCCATTTCATCCTTAAATGATTTGGACTTGTTTTGATGCCCAGAGGAGCTTTCTGAGTTAGATTTATATCTTTTCTTCTAGCAAGACTTGATTTGAATCATATCTTTGTCATATTAATTATTATTTTGGTACATCAAAAAATTTTTTTAAAGGAAAAAAGTTTTCAAATTTTACATCTTTAACATTCTTTGTTGTGAGAAAATATTTGATTGTTTATGAAGTCAAATAGTCAAATGTTTTTCTCTCTTAATTGTTTAACAAAAGCAAGAAATTTCTCATCAAGAGAGAAAGAAAATTTCTCATCAAGAGAGAGATATCACAATTCACAAGAATTCTCCATATAAGCATTTAATAATTACTAAGTGCTTGTTTTTCAAAAACCAACTAATATATAGTTTAAAACATAATAAAAAAACATATAGATTCCTTCTCTTGATAGGAAATGACTATAAATTTCACTTTAATCAAAAGGGAGCAAAATTTTTTTCCATGATTTCAATATGATATTGGTCAATAATTGACTAGTTCTCAAGTTTAATTCGTTCGGTTGGATTGATTGGTTCATTAAAATTACCTTTTCTGTTTACCTGATTCGATCCACAAATTGAAAGTTGAAAGACATATCTGATAGAGAGGGAGATTCATGACTTATATTACCTTTTGAAAATGATATATTAGTACTTTTAAGGTAGAAAGTAAAGTGAAGGATCATGATGAGATTTATTTAATTAGCCAATTTGCAAGAGAGCTCATTCAAATCTTGCCAATATAAAATCTCTTCTTGAATCCTAAAATTTAGAGGAAAAAAAAATTATAATATGATTTTCAAATATTAAAATTACAAAAAGTAAACTGTAACATAACATAACTTAATGTAATTAAAAGTATTTTTAATGTACATTAAAAATGCATTTAATTACATTACATTTTGTACCAGTAGAATTCACTAATGCTCCGTTTGTTTTCGTAAAATAACTTGCAGGAAAATAACTTGTTGAAAAATATTTTTTGAATGACTTATTTTCCATTGTTTAGTTGTAATATTGAAAATTAGTTAAAAATATTAAAGTTATTTGAATTTCATAAGACTATAAAAAATATTAATAATAATAGAAATTTTAAAAAATATTAATAATAATAGAAATTTTATAAATTAAAAATTTTACTGTTAAATATGAGAAGAATGCAAAAATATATACATATAAATTTTGAAAGCCGCCGGTAGCCGGCTGTGGTGGTGGTTGGTGATGGTCGTCGGTGATAAATGATGACTAGTGATAGTGACTACGATCACTAATAAATTAAAAAAATATAAATTTATAAGATTTGTCAATATTTGAAAAATATTTTACTCTCTAAAAAATAGGAAGTTATTTTCCTTAACTTAAAAAACTTAATTTTCCTTTGACTAGTAAAATATTTTCCTTTAACTTATTTTCCTGAACGTCTGAAACAAAAGAAAATTGTGAAAAATATTTTTATGTAAGTTATTTTACAAAAAAAAAAACGGAGCCTAAATATAGAATAAATGTAAAACTAATTACAAAATAATGTACAATGTCATGCCCAGTTCATTACTGATATGAAATAAAGTCTGGATGCTAAGAAAATATTACTCCTATTTTCTTTATTTTGTAAACTTTTAGCTATCATAATTAAAGATGTCTTCCTATGGGAAGAAAAAAAAAAAGTGTTTGTACGAATATGGAGTGTCCATAAGATTATGGTGTATCATTGAGAAGATGCTTACATTTTCTTTTTTCTTTTTTTCTTTTTTTCCTTCTCTGATTATGAAATTTAACAAATTAAGCGTAAGATGCTTTGGGCACCACCAAGTTCCTTAGTGGGTTCATTTTGATTTTTGGATTGTGATTGGTATTTTGTTTGAACATTAATTCAAATTATTGTTTTCCTTAATAATATATGTCATGTTTCAAACCTTTAAAAAAAAAGGTTTTTAATTCAGCTTTATGCTCTCTAATTGGAATTGAAAAAAAAAAAATTCATTTAAGAAAAGAAACATTATTTAATAGTTATTTATTAACTATTTTAAAAAGAGTGTAAATTACTATTTCATTCATTAAATTTAGTTTAATTAACAACATTATTTCTCAATTTTGAAAAATACATAAACTGTCATTACATTATTGACCTATTAAACTATTAGAAAGTGCTATAATAGCTATTAAATGATGATTAAAAATTATTAATATATCAAACTAACTATTTGCATTTTTTAATAATCAAAAAGTATATTTAAAATAAAAATAATTTTTATATTTCAAACAAATTAAAATATAATATCTGATTATTTTTATTTTAATATAATAAATTATTTTTTATTATTTAATTTTATAATCTAAATATTTTAGAGAAAATTATGGGGGATAATAAAAATAAATTACTGGCCAATTTTGTATCGTTTAAATTATTATTCTCTTTAATTACTGGATATAATTCAATAATTTTCTCTTTAATACTAGATATAATGGTACTTGAATAACAATAAGACACATGTTAAAGGTGAGATACGTGAATTAAAACTAAAAATATAATGAATAGAGATGGATCGAGAATGGAATATTTCTCTTCTTCTTCTTTTTTTTTTTTTTTTTTTTTTTTTTTTTTTTTTTTTTTTTTTTTTTTTTTTTTTTTTTTTTTAATTTCGAAGACTCAAAATTTTTCTAAATTCAATAAAAATGGGACAAAGGTAATAATTGTTTTGAAATGGCAGATTCTGATGATCCACTGACTAAACAGTGATATAAATAGGAATCCAAAAAGTACAGAAAGGGAAAGAATATAGAATCTGAATAAACTTGCATGAAAGGATTAGGGAAGGAATCATCTATCTACCTTTACCCTAAAATGGTTTTTGTTTTGATTTTACCATCTCTCCCCCCACACGTATTCTTCATCACTTTGCTTTATATTTTAGCTCCATTTTCAATCTTCCAAAGTAACTAACAGATTGAAATGGCAAATCTTAATGTGCTTTTACCTCTTCTTGTCGTTCTATTCATCATTTCTTCAGGTAATTGAATCTTTTTCTAACCCATATTTGTTTTTCTAGTGGCATTTTATCTTATGTTTTCCTGTGTTAATGGCAGAGACAAAAGTGACAGAGAGTGCAAGAATTTTTACCATAATAAACTATTGCAAAGAAACAATATGGCCTGGAATCACTCCAGGTGACAATTTCAATGGCGGTGGATTTGCATTAAAACGAGGCCAATCCATTGTGTTCAATGCCCCGGTTGGTTGGTCAGGAAGAATTTGGGCCAGAACGGGCTGCAGTTTTGACAAAAACGGCAATGGATCATGTCAAACAGGGTCATGTGGCACGTCGTTAAAATGTGGAGCATCAGGTGCAACTCCTGTTTCACTAGCGGAATTTACCTTGGCAACCCCAGACTTCTATGATGTTAGCCTTGTGGATGGGTTTAATTTACCATTACTCGTTACACCAATTAATGGTGTCGGAAATTGTAGTGTTGCTGGTTGTTATATGGATTTGAGGTCGACTTGTCCGTCGGAACTTGCCGTCAAGTCGAACGGAAAAGTTATCGCTTGCCGGAGCGCTTGTGATGTGTTCAATACTGATGAGTATTGTTGTAGAGGAGTTTATGGAAATCCTGTGGTTTGTCAACCTACTTACTATTCCAAGAAATTCAAAGAGGCTTGCCCTACTGCTTATAGTTATGCTTATGATGATCCTACTAGTATTTTTACTTGCTCTGGAACAGATTATGTCATCACTTTTTGCCCATCAAGGTGAGTTACCATAAGGTAATTTCTTTTTTTTTTTTTTTTTTACTTAAATTATCTTTCGATAAAAGGCGACTCAATCCATGAAACATTCTATTTTATGGATTTTGAAAAAGATTGATTTATACGGCTTTTCTCTGCTTTTGCAAAGAGAATGTCTTTATATTTTTCGATTGTTTTTTTATAATAATTTTGACGTTATATATAATTATATTCTAAACAAATAGATGTTATTTGTTAATAATTGCAGCCAGAAACAACAGGTTTGCACATATCATAATAACAAGCTTGTTTGTGGTGGATCTCAAGGATTAAAGTCATTGATTGGAAGCAGTTGGGTTCTGGTGCTTGCATTTTCATTTATGGTTAACTGGTGGATTATTTAGAATTTAATATAAGACATAGATGTTTTTTTTTTTTTTTTTTTCATAGATGTTTTTTTTTTTTTTTATTTTTTGATCAAATAGAGGGGGTTCTTAATTATTCTTTGATAATTATATATATTTTTTTTTTTTTTTTTTTGATCAATTAGAGGGGTCTCTTAATTATTCTTTGATAATTATATATAGCTTGCCCAAATTTGTGAAAGGACTTATAATCTTTTCTTATAGGTTAAAATGTCAATGTTGGGATTGTAAATATTAATTTGATTCTATTGTTTTTCTTCGATTCAAGGGCAAGAATCAACTGCAATTACTTATCAGACTGTAATCTTCAATTTAATCTAACATTTTATTTCTCATTGTCCACTTGTATATCCAATTTAATTTGTTCTTTTGAGTAAGATTCAAGCTTCTTCGTGTTCATCCGATTGGAAATAAATATTATTATTATTATTATTATTATTATTATTATTATTATGTTTATGTAATTGATATGATACAATTGGATTAATAGAAGTGAATTATATCATTCGATAAATTTTATCTGTAAAGTCAGGAGTTTGATTCTATATTTGAATCAATCTACACGGAAAGTGGCACTAGAAAAATAATTACCAAATTAGTAAATTAAGTCATTAAAAATATAAGATATTCTCGGTTGTTTATACCTATTTTTGATTGAGATCATTTAAAATTATTTTGTAAAAGAGAGGGAAAATTTTCATTCGTGAATGACAGGTTAAAATTTCCCTCCTCATACATAAAACTGAAACAAGGCCTGAAATCCGCTTGTACCGAGCCCAATGGGCCTGGATTGCGTTGAAGCTACGCCTTCCAATAAATACAATAGTATTTGTGTATATCAAACTACCCATAGAAAACGAAAATCCAGTAATACAAGTCAAATTGAAATGGCTAGCGCCGGTGGTGATGGTGGTGGTGGTGGTGGTGGTGGTGGTGGTGGAGGAGGAAAGGTCTCCTTCAAAGTGACGCTTACCTCCGATCCAAAGCTTCCTTTCAAAGTGTACGTATAATCAACCTTTTCAATTTCAGCTCGTAATTCACTCGTTTAATTTTTACTGTTTGTTCATCTCTGATTTGAATTGTTATCTTAATTATGGCTGATTTCAGGTTTAGCGTACCAGAGGCTGCCCCATTTACTGCTGTTTTGAAATTCGCAGCTGAGGAATTCAAAGTTCCACCCCAAACTAGCGCTATCATCACTAACGGTAATTCCCATTTCTTGTCTTCTAAAAAGAATGATGAAAAGCCAAAGAAATGGTAATCTAGGGTTTCACACATTGATTGTGATCGATTTTGTGTGTTTTTTTTTTTTTTTAATTTTCTGTTTATTTGTTTTAGAAGAATAATTTTTAGAAGGTTTCAGAAACTGTTGAGCTTATAAAGGGCTTCTTTTTCTTTCCTTTTTATAGTGTTCTTTAGGAAGAAAGATCCTAATTTTGTGCAAGTAGGAATTAATTAGGTTTTGAAGTGGAAATGTTGCATTCGTTATGCATAAACTTGAACTGAGACATCAAATGCAATGTGGTATTCTAGATTGCGAATTTGATCCTGGAAAAAATCTCATTCTGAAAGTTGGTTTCTTTTGAGCTTGTGTTGTTTCCAGGCCTTGGTAGTGTATGTGTCATAGCAATTGCATTGAATCAAATATCTTATTTTACCTGATTCACATTGTTGACTCAATGACTCAGTGAGCTGCCTGCAGTCCTCATGCATTGGCATTGGGATGACATTTGGGCAACCGTTGAAATTAGTGAATTATTTTAATTCACCGGAATGAAATGGACAGAGAGGGAAAGAAAAAAACAATTTGGCAGTATAAATGAATTAATTATATTAATTTCTGTGCTTAATTTCATTGTTTCAACTGGCTTAAGTGTTTACTATCTCCTTTCCATCAACTAATCTAGTTTTATGATGTTCTACCAAATGAGGGTTAGTCAGCATCTTAATTCATCCTATATTCTTTGTTGTTTCTTACATCAAAACTGTTTTGTTGACATCCAGATGGAGTGGGAATCAATCCTCAACAAAGTGCAGGTATGCTAATGCATTCCCTATATTCATACACTCTATGATTTCATTTAATCTGCTTTTTTTTGGTTCATATGTGCCATCTGTTGAAGAGTCTCTGCTTTGCTTGAAATAAAGACAACAGCTCCTGAAGGGAGGGTCATGTTAGTATATAACAATAACAGAACTAGTTTAAGTTATGACATTAGCAGCACTAGGTTAATTTTGGTATCATCAATGTGCACACCTGTCTAATAAGATTACAATGGTGTAATTTAGCAGCTGTTGCTTCTTAATCAAATTGCAATTCTATCTGTTTCATTAAGCTGTGCCTTGCAACTGGATCATATCACAGATCAAAAGTTGTACTGGGAACCAGCAGATTCAAGAAAGTAACTTGAGGTTTTCATGGGAAAATGGATGTCTTCAATGATACTGTCAAATTAGTGCTGTTCTTACTGCTGTTTTTGTGAAACTAGTAGATTATTGTGTTCTCTCAAATGCTTATTTTGAGTTTTAACTTTTAGAATTTTGTGTTTGTCTTGATTTGATCTGGATTTTCTAATTTTCTAGTATTTAATAATGTGTTTATCATAAATTTCCTTGGGGTTCTATATTACAATTCTCTTGGTATATTTGACGAGCTAAAAACATTATATAACTTACTTCCTGTTAATATGGTAGCTCTGAAGTATCAGAAAGTTTATGATTCTACTGTTATTAGTTATAAATCATTTCATGCTGTTTAGATCCTTTTTTTTTTCCTGTCTCTCATGATTTTGATGGTCTCAGGCAATGTCTTCCTCAAACATGGTTCTGAATTGCGCTTGATCCCTCGTGATAGGGTTGGATCTACAAAGTAAAGAAAGCAACAGTTTTATTAGAGCTAAAAGACTTTTATTTCCTAGTTAATCTAGATCTTTTTATACTGTACTTTTGTATAAACTGGGAGGATGGCGAGAGTTTCCTCTTGGCATTATACTGTTGTAACTGATACAATAATATTTTCGAAATTCACATGAAAGCCCTTTATAGACTGACTGTACGTTGCACTTTCTTTGTTCTACTCTGTTTTGCCTTTGTGGCAAAGATCTAATGCTGGGCCAGGCTGGCTTGGAGTCAAGAAATTTCTATTCTGAATTGTGAGTGGCATTATGGTTATTGAATGACTGATAAGTGATAACTTGGGCTTTGATTTTAGAAATTTCTATTCTGAACAGTGAGTGGCCTCATTGTTACTGAGTGAGTGATAAGTAATAACTGTGGATGATATTAATGGAGTTGGGTTCCCTGCAACTATGACAGGTGTTTTGTTAGAAGCATTAAAAAGGAGTGGTACTAAATGGGAAGGAGCCATAAAAATCACAGGTGTCCAATAGAGGTTTCAAAAAAGGTGTTGTACTCAGTACATTAGTCTCTTTTTGGGCCCAAAAGTTCCTTACCTACATTATGATGAGTTGTGGGTGGCATAAATTTATCAGTCCAAAGGGCATCTCTTCCAAATGAGAACGCACCTTCCTATAATGATGAATACAATTTTCTCTTTGCTCCCGGATCTCTCTCCAGGTAACTTAGTATTTGCCCTTTATATATATATTTTTTTTATTGAAATATGTGAAAAGCTTAGATTTATGAAGAATTTTTCATAATATCATATTTTCAATTCTGTTAGGATATTTCATGTTAATGTATTGTTTGACTTTTACTCGCTAATTTTAATAGGGGATTTCATCGCAATCTCAAACTGGTTGATTTAATTTCGATTCAGATGCAATAACTTTTAATTGGCTCTCGTATGACTCCTTTGATTTCGATTGATTAAGATTTTAATTGTAACTTTTCCTCCTATCCCATTTTTCATCAAATTGGACCGAATCAACGGTCGATTTGCAGCTTAATTGATTGATTCAACTCATCGATTCAGTTTGCCAATAAGTCGGTCAAGGAGGGGGGTATCCTAATGAAGGAGGGTAGGCCCACAATGATGAGCACTATTATGTCGTATTTGTGGGTTGATGTAAAGTGGTGGGTAGAGTGGAGTTAGGACAAAAGCATATAGAAATGGCATCTAATATATATATATGTAGGGTCCAAAATTGAATATTTGAATCTCAGATCAGTGGCCCTATCACTTTCACTGTCTCAAAAACAATCTACCAATAAGACCAAAAATGCTACTGAATTTTTTTTTTTCCCTTAGACCTTGAGCTCGATGGTACTTTTTACTGAGATTTTATTGTGCAAGTGCCCAAATTGGAGACACAAACCACCTTCTTATAATAGCACATCACATGGGTTTTCACTTTACAAGAATCGCTATATAAACTCAGCCTGACTAGGTGAATTAATATGAAAGTTCTTTTTGTTTTTTTAAATTAGTTAAAGGAAAATATATATCTATAAAATGAAAAAATAGTAAAAAATTTTATAGGTAATTGATTTTTAGGATGCTCATTTTATCCAATCACGCCTTACAGCATTTATGAATTTTAAAAATAAAATCAAACTAGAGTAAATGTTTTTTTTTTTCTTAGGAAAAAAAAAAAAAACTGGGCAAACAGTGATTCTTGAAAAGGCATCCACGAAATAAAGATAGGGAAAGAGATTCCACGTTCCATCTTTGCTAATGTAATAATTAATTTCAGCTGGTATTTCTTTTTAGTTTTTCTTTATTACATTGTATTATTTTTGACGTGCTTTATAATGAATTGTATTGTCATATGAATTTTTAAGTTGTAATTACTGCTAACAGTGTAAAGCGTATAAAAAAAAAAAAAAAAAAACAGAAATAAAGATCAGGGAAGAACATTTTAAATGAAATTTGTTTTGTGACCCACGTTGTCCCATCCTCATCTTGATGACAGGATAGGTATATTCACTATTTTTTTTCTTTAAAAATTTTTTAATATATACAAAAAATTTAGTATATTCTATTTTTAATCTAAAATTTTCATTTCATGAACTCAAAAAATAGTATTTGAAATAAAAGCGAGAAGCAATAAATTTAAAAACATAAAAAAAAAAAAAAAAAGATTACACTTTTTGTGAACATTCATTGGTGTAAAACCAACAACAAAAATTTCATTTAATTTTTCGGTGCTTTCACTAACTCTAACTGCATATATAAAGACACAGCCAATATATTTGATTTTTTAATGTCAGCTGACTCTCACTAGCAAGCTCATGAAAATAAATAAGTAATAATATATACTTGACATTGGAGATGCTTTTAGAAGTGTTCAAAATAAAGTATCCCGAAAAATCTGTTCGGCAAAATTAATTATTTTGGTATTTTTTAGTTGTTTTAATAGTGTGTAGGTATTAGCCGCTCAAATAGTTTTTTCATGAAACGTTAAAAGTTAAATGTTACACATATTAACTTTTATAAAACGCTACCTTAATTTCTAAAAACTATTCAAACGTAATATTATCGAATACCATAAAAAATATTATTTAGCGTTTTAAATATTATATTAAATTCTTGTAAGTTGAAACTGTAATGATTTTAGATTTTGAGGAACCGACATTACAATTAAAATTCACCTAAAAACATAGTCTATTTTCACTGATTCAACGACCTTTTAATTTCATTTTCCTGGAATAAAGTTTAACAATGTTTTTACCAGCATTTGGCTCTCTTTTATTTATTTATTTATTTATTTATTTATTTAAACTTCTACCAAGGTTTATCTGGTGAATAGAGTGCATTAGTGCATGGTATGACAACTGGGCTCGAATGTCCAAAGCAAACAATATCTGCACACTAACAAGGGGACTGCTCGCTTGAGATTTGGAACTTAAATAGACAGAAACAGGCTCAAGAAGTCAAATAACATCCCTTAATGGAGGGGTAGTTTAGTAAAAAAAACGTGGTCAGAGAGTGGGATCCAGTACAGACGGGTAAAGCGGATGTCTTGGAGAGATTTCGGCCATATTCTGTGTCTTTTTATGTGACGATATATATTATTTCCTATTCTCACGTGGCATTGTCACCACCTGGTTTAAGAGTCCCTTTTTTTCTCAGTTGAGTACTTTACCATTTTATCCTTTTATATTTTCATTATTATTTTATAGGATAATTTTATAATCCCCGTAATTAATAATAAGTTTTTTTTTTTTTTTGAGAAATGTAATTAATAATAAGTTATTTCTTGGCTTAAACATGAAATTTCAACTTACAATGTTTTAATCTTAAAGATAAGAAAGTATTTAGTTTTATTTTTTTTATTTTTTTTTTTGAATACGAACAAGGGAAAACCCGAAAGAATAAATAAAACTAAAATTATTTAATCACAAGCAGATATTTCATCGCAAAAAGATTCATAACCTTGCATTACAAAATGTCATATATGTAATGACACGCCAAATGTTAGTTGGAGACAATTAATATGAAATGCTAAATGTGTTGTTCAAATAGAGAGAGATTAAAAATTGTGAGCAAGATTGGTGGTATTAATTTTATTATTAATAGAAATAATAGTCACGGTTGCAAAATTAAAATTATTTTTCTCAATCCAATTAAGACAATAGCCTTACTTTATAATTGACTTAAATACGGTTATTTTATTACTTCAAATAATGAGTCTAAAATAAAAATTTGAAAAGTCCATAAGCTTAATTTGGTTGAGTACGTTAAAGAAATTTTTTTAAAAAAATAAAAAATAAAAAATGAAAATTTGAATCCATATCTCTATGTCATGAAAATTAATCTTTGAATTATTAATTTCAATATCTAAATTTATAATATGTTATTATATTAAAATGATAAGTTTCAATGTTGGGTTGTAGTTTTATTTAATGAGAAAGCTTCTTCTTACAGTATAAATTGTCGTTTGCTTTATTTCTTGTTTTTGAAGTATTATAGTTGTTGAAGCCATAATTTAGAATATTAGTTCGAACCATAGTTTAAGCAATAGTTCTAAAACTAGGACAAGCTCTAAAGAAAAGTTTATTTTTTGTCTATTATATTATTTTGCTAGTTTTGTATTGTTATCCAAAATTTGTTACTACCATACCATGTTGCCTCTTATGTAGTCTGCTCTTTATAGATTTTAGTAGGTGGATTAACTTCTACTCATTCACTTTTGAAAATGAAATAGAAGAAGAGAAAGGAAAGGAAAAGAAAATAAAAGAAAAAAAAAATCCCCATTGGTGCCCTGCAAAATTGGAAATTTTTTTAGCACGTTTATTGTTGAAATGTGGTCCATCTGATTGGGATTGCCTGTACTGATCTTTAGATAAAAAAAATATCAACCTAGAAAATTCTTTCCCTATTTTTTTTTTTTTCTTGTTGTTTAAGGATGCTTGAAATTTCAGGCTTCCATTTATTTTAAATAACTAATTTTTAAAGGGTTAAGGTGGTATCTCGAGTTAATTTTGTACCTTTTACCAATCTCTGTTTCTTCCATCTTATTAAAAACATGCTATTTATCTTAGAATTAAAACGGTTCGTAAGGATAAAAAAATATTATTATTAGTCCAATCGTAAGATTTAAATCTTAATTAATTAGTTGGAGGGCTGCACCCATTTTATCAATTAAACTAGTATTTCTCTTTAAAAAAGTCAATATTTAAAATAAATTAATATATAGTCATTCTGAGATTAAATTAGATTATATATATATACACACACACGACTTTTCTCAATTAAAAATATTTTAATATAATATGAGCAAAAACTAATCCATGATAGTATATTATTGCAAAATTAAGAATTATTATGTAATTATTATTTTTTTTATACTTGAAAAGTCTAATGGACAATATTGTGAGCTACAGAGTTTAATTAAAGTTTGCCAAATTAGAAATAATTTTGTGACGGAGAGGACTCGAACTCTCACTCCCCACGTCTTTAACAAGACGTAAGAAGACCAACTAGACCATATATGATTGACTTTATGTAATTATTATTTTAATTTTTATGAAGTTAACTCAATAAATTTTTATTTTACATATACATATAACTAATATTGAAAAGATTTTAAAAAATACTACTAAAAAATATAGCTACATGATTATATTGGTACAAAATAAAATTATTTTATGGCGCTAAATTAGAATCACATCAAAATTTAAAGATTTTACGTATAAAGATAAAATTCTATCGTGAATCTTAAGGGCTGAGATGAGATGATAAGAATTTCTTCTCCCTTCATCGTAAATCTTGAGTTCGAATTTTAAAATCCATTTAAATATTTGGGAAGGAGCGTTCTGCTCCCTTAGTGGGTCTGCCCAAAATGTTTAAAATTAATCGGAATTAATCGAGCTAGTTAGAAGAGAGCGCTTTTTCTCTTTGTGGGCATGTCTAGTGCATCTAAAATTAATCGGAATACTCTGGTGTAGATGAGATTTTTGCATCCTAAAATCCTTATACTTCTTTATGGAAAAAAAAAAATAAGAAGAAACGAAAAGGACGTGCAAATTTGGGAGTCGTGGAAGGCATAACGGTGCAAAAGAAAAAATAAATTATGAATTCTGGACGGTCGCAGGGGCGTCGTGGGGTATTAAATTTAAAGGAGCCCGAGGCGACGCACTAACTGACGGTGACGGACTTTAGCCGGTTAACGACTTTAACGTCTCTATGGCTACTGGCAAGTGTCAGCCCATTCTTTTTTCGTGTCTGTTCCCAATATCTATGCAGCTCTATGCTTTTGCTTTAGTGGGTAATTCGAGTTTAGTTTATACTCCGTTATTATTACGTGTTGTATTATAGTATTAGTCAAAGATGTTATTATGCATAGATATGATCGGCTTCGCACTTGGTTGGAGTTTTCCATTCCTTGCTTCTAGTTCTAGCGATAAATTGTACATGCGAAAGAGTCCTTAAAATATAATACTCTGTTCTTTTCATTTTATTTAATTATTATTTTTTATATATCTTAAAATATTTATAAAATTTCGAAATTTAGCTATGTAAACTTTTATGATCATTTATTAAATGAAAGGTTTTTATTAATATCTTTCATTTAATAAATAAAATAATATTATGAAAGGTTGTCAAACGATATAAATAAATAAAATGAGACAGAAAGAGTATTACATTAAGAGATCCATCCTAATTTCTTTATTTCATTAATATTTTAATTATTTTCATAATATTATTTTGTTAAAAAAACGTTTTCCCTGCCAAAGATTTTTGAAGCATGAGACTACCTTTGTTTCAGATTCATTATTGCCTTTTTTCCATGAGTTTTTTTTTTCATGGATTAAATTCGAAATTTTGTAGAGATTTTTTTTGCTAGAATTGTTCAACAAAATTAGTTAATTTTAGTAGTTGGGAACTGTCCTAATTACCGTCAAGAGATAGAACTTTTAAATCACCTTCCATGTACTTATTATTAAGGAAGATTTTTCTATTATTATTATTTTTATAAAATTCACATTGTAGTATTTTGTTCACAAATTATAATTAAAAAAAAGCAACTTTAGTCAAAACCAGTATATTTATTTCATAAAGGGTCATATTATAGAATTTTATGCAATTAAAATAAGATTTTATTTATTTTTAAGAATTGAAGGCTAAATTATTTAATTTCAGAAAATACGAAACTATGTTGTTGGGAGATAAGATCAAAGTTGAAGAGTTTTACTTTTTAAGCGTTGAGTTTATCATCAAACCCAGTAAATAGTAAGCTTACAACTGATTTAACAGTTTATGGCTGTACTGTATATATCCAATTATCCTTACCAAAAATCAAAATATCGCACGATATCAGGACATTTTTAGCTCCAATTCTATACATTAACCCATTTTAAACTTTAAAAAGCTCGGCTCTCTCTCTGGTTTCTCTTTGTCCTCTCCATATTGGCTTCGAGCCACCCAAAAAGAAATTATTTCGTGTAAACGCACTACAGAAATATAAACCCGCAACGCTACAACGCCTCGTAAAATCAAGACCCGTCTTTTTTACTCTCTCTGCTCACTGCTCAGAAACAAACAAAGACCATAACACAGTACAAGTACAAACTACTCTCTCTCTCTCTTCTTTCTATATCAGAGAGTTACTGTTTTCTCTTCTCTATATTTGCATGGCCATAAACACTGCTACTGCAATGAAGCCCAAGGCGGCCCACAATGTTAACGCCAATAATGGCACTGCCAGTGATGGCAGTGCCGACAGCAATTCTCCTAGTCCACCACCGTCTCCTCGCCGTAACCACCTTATAGGTATCCCCCAAAGCCGTCGTCGACTTCGGTCTAAACTTCAGTCTCACTTTCGCCGGGAGAATCTCACTGCCGGGATCTTTCTCCGGTGGAACATCCGGTACTTGGTGGTCTTGCCGTTGTTGTATATTTCTGGTTTGATTATGTGTGTGGGACCTTTCTCGGCCTTTTTGCTTCAGCCTAGTCTTCCAGGTGCCGTGTATCGTAGTTCCGAGTTGTTTGCGAAGCTTTGGCCTGATATTGCTGTTGATAATTCTACTGCAATTGAGGTTTTCTTTTCTTTTCTTTTCTTTTTTTTTCATCTCTTAATTTTTGCTAATTTTCACTTCTTTTGTCTTATTTCTGTTTGGTTTTTGAGAAAAAGTGGAAAAAGAAAAAGCAAAAGGAGAACAAAATAGTTTATGGTTGTTGAAGTATTGTTATTACATGGGACCGAAGGAAAAAGAAAAAGGAGAAAATTAAGAAGTTCGAAAAATTGAAAATGATGATTGTTCCTAAAGGAACTCAGTAGAATTAGTTCAAATGATTTTGTTTGAACGTTTATTTCTTTTTATATATTCTCTTTTATCAGTTTTTGGTTTTTTTAGTTTTTTATAATTTGAGGAGATTCTTGGTATTGTTGTTGCACTCGGGGTTAATGCTTAAAAGTTAAGCTAGATACGCTTGTTAATTTTGATGCTGAATAATTGGATTACTAACTCTTTTTTAAAGAGGTTTCATTGCGTGTCAATTGCTGCTTTTTTTTTATGCGTGGGTAAAGTGAATTACTGATTTCTCTTATTAATCCAATAATGCATTTTATATATAGCTACTTTCAATTTTTCCTTGATAAACTGTAATTGGCAAACATGCCATTTCTTTTTTCAATCCAATAATGCATTTTATGTATAGCTATTTTCAAATTTCCTTAATAAATTGTAATTGGCAAACATGGCATTTCTTTTTTTAGTTATCTTCTGTATGGAAGTTCACGAGGAGGTTGAAAGTACAGAGACCTTGTCCAGATTCAACTGCCAGGCAACATTTTGCTGCAAATAATGAAGGTAGACAAATTTTTTTCTGAGATGACTTTTCTAGCCTACTAGCGTAATGTTTGACTTTGTCCTCTTGGAAACAACTTAACCTGGGAACTACACCTGCTTGCTAATGCATATCCTTCTGGGTTATGGGTTATGCAAGCAACAGAGTTCTAAACCCAAAGATTGATTAAAATAAATTGGAAAATAACAATAATATATCCCTTTTGGTCCTGCATGTAATAAGCAGTGTGTCTTACAATTCACCTCCTTAGCAGTCCCAAATGCTTATGGACATTATTAGTTGTGATGCATCACCCTCTCTATTAGGAGAGCTCGTACTCATTGCTCGGTTTTGGAAAACTAGATAGATCAAGTACAATTGTAGCTCATGTTTGGCATTGCATTGCAGAGCCAGCTGGCCCGAATGGTTACTTGATTGTTGAGGCAAATGGTGGTCTTAACCAACAGCGTTCTGCGGTATGTTATAGCCTTGTTATTAACTTGCTGCAAGTTCCTATCTATCTTCTTTATCAGTTAGAGCACTAAATCATGCCAAGCATGTTACCAATAATGCCATGATATCCACATGTTGTTCAGTATCTGTTCCTGATATATTTTTAATGTTTTTCTTTAGATTTGCAATGCAGTTGCTTTAGCTGGACTGTTGAATGCTATACTAGTCATACCCCACTTTGAATTCAACCGTGTTTGGAGGGATCCAAGGTAAGACCAAATTAGTTACCCATGGTGTTCGCTCTCTTGTTTGGACATACCCCCCAAAAACAAACCTGGCGATTATAATTTATTTGAAGGCTTTGCCTCAAGTGCCCATGCAAGTGTGTGCACATATGCATACAGGCATAAAACTGCACGCTTACTTTCGGACTGCATCTCAGAATAGGAAAAGTGCAAGTGATTTAGACATCGGTGAACTTTAGTGTGGACCCCTTCAGCTCCCCGCCTTACATTGTGTGCTAATTCCCGTTGTGGCCTTCCCAAATAATTTTCTTTCGTTTATGAGTATATCTCATCTAATATTTGCTCCCAAGATTAAAACAACCTATCCTCATTTAATACATTCTTATGTGATTTCTCTTGTAATGGAAGATTGCTATAAGTAGTTTTCATCTTAAAATGCATTCAAGAAGCTTTCAGTATCTAATTAGTTATAGATAATCTTAATTATGTTTGTCAATTTAGAAAATGAGGTAATTTCTTATTGACTCACATTTTAATGATATCCAAGAAAAATGATGGTATTTCAAAAGGAGAAAATAGAAAGCGATTCTCTTTCAATATTGTCATAAAAGTTGAGACAATTTTTAATAAATTAGAGTTTCTTATTTTTCTGTTCTTTTAAGTGAATGGTAGACTTAATTAAGGAATTGGTATTTTGATATTGTTTGCAGTAGTAATAATGAATTATAGCTTTAGAAACACATACGTTATCCTTATGCCTCTGGCCCTCCCTTTCCGAATACATTAGCTCCCATTGAATACACTAGCAAATGTACTACATAGGTGGTCCAGCAAATTTATTTTGCTGCACCAAAATATTTGATCAACCTTTGGTGTCCATCAAACTAGCCTATTGTGTATCTGAAACCTTGCAAGAAACGATTTTTCCAAAGTGAAAGCTTAAGAGAGTTATGAGTTTGACCCCTGCGTAATTTTTAATTATTACCATCTTCTCTGGAAGTAATAAGCTATTATTAAGATTTATCTGCTATGCAGTGATTTTGGAGACATATATGATCTGGAGCATTTTATAGCCACCCTTGAGGGTTATGTGAAAGTGGTTAAAGAGCTACCTGATGAAGTGATGGCAAGATATGACTACAACGTTTCTAATATTATAAACATTCGTGTCCAAGCATGGGCTCCTGCTAAATACTATCTGGGAGAAGTTCATCCTCTGCTTAGGGAGCATGGGTATGTGCAGGTGCATTTGTTTTTATTCCATTTGCAATATCTCTCTCACTGAACTAGACTGGCGCCTTCTGATAAAAAATAGCAAACTGAGACTAGAAAGCATGCAATTGCTTAGAGGATTGCAATCTTCCACTTGCTACTTTGTTCTAGATATCTTAGTTTGTTATATAACTAAATCTAGGTTTTTTCTAATTTGTGCTTCTGAAAGCAGGGTTATCCGCATTGCCCCCTTTGCCAATAGATTGGCAATGAGTGTCCCACCTCATATTCAATTGTTGAGGTGCATTGCTAATTATAAGGCACTGAGGTTCTCTTCTCCCATATCGACACTCGCACATAAATTAGTAAATCGAATGATTGAAAACAGCTCAAGGACTGGTGGAAAATATGTGTCGATCCATCTCCGTTTTGAGGAGGTACTAATATGACTTCTTGGCTTTTAAATAAGCTTCTATTCTTTTAAATAGGATCAACTTAACATATCTCTAATAACCTTCAGGATATGGTGGCCTTCTCTTGCTGTGTGTATGACGGAGGAGATGCTGAAAAGCAAAAAATGGATTCAATTAGAGAAACAGAGTGGAAGAGGAAATTCAAAAGAAAAGACCGTGTCATTTTACCTGGTCTTAATCGGATTGATGGAAAATGCCCTCTAACTCCCCTGGAGGTATCTCACATATGTGCGAATTCTCTTGTGTTTTGGATCCTTGGCATTTTGATTCTTTTTTTAACAGCTCCACCTTCGGTGATTCCAATTATTTAATCAGTTCTTACAGGCTTTGCTGATAGCCTCAGCAGAAATTTTCTGCTGTCTTCAACTTTTTCCAGTACCATTTGTTATGTATTTCAAGTTGCTGCAAAATTGAAGAAGCATCAAATAGTCACACAGTATTTTTAAAGGGTTTTTGGTGGCCAATTCAAATAATTAGGTTTATCTTTTGGTTTTAGATATTTTGGTGTGGTTAGGTTTTCTTTAGGTTGTTTCTAGCTACTTTTACTGTCCCAAAATGATGCATCTTGGTCTCTAATCTATGCTTTTCAGATAGTGACTTGAGAACTGTTAAGAATCCCACATTGACTACACATCAAATCTACAAAGGGAATATAAGAGTGGCAAGTTTGCTAGCTAATTGGTTAGTAGTAACCTTTTAGAATTGGTTGGCACAAGTCCAGTAAGCCCACGTTAGATATTTTCACCTCATGAGTTCTAACCTTTTACCCTATTCACCTCTACCCTTCAACTTCTAATAAGAACTTTTTCTTTAAGTTGAACGCAACTTCATTTGCTTTCTTTTGTTTGATTCTCCAAATGCATTATGTTCATTAGCATGACAAACTGAAACAGGGTTATAAACGTCATGTTATTTTTTTCTTGATTACACCTTGTTGGTTTTCTCGTCTGACCATCTAATTTGGCATATAATAACTCTTTTACTTGTGTGATGTTTTTGCTGTCAGCATAGGTTGGGATGATGCTTCGCGGTATGGGGTTTGATAACAACACATCAATTTATTTGGCCTCGGGGAAAATTTACAAGGCAGAAAGGTATTTAGCTCCTTTGTTGCAGATGTTCCCCCTTCTTTACACCAAGAAGTCTCTTGCAACCCCAGATGAGCTTGCTCCTTTTGAGGTAGTTGCTAATTCTACAAATGTGATGTATTTCTGAGGCAATCTCTTCGATCTTTATATTTTGTAAATTGACTAGTTTTCATATAATATATTTGAAGCATGAGCCACCTGATGGATAATCCAGATAAGACATTTTCCACTATAAAACCATCAATTACCATTCTCTCCTTTCCCATCAAATTGGCTTCTTGAAAATTATTTGAAAGTCATTGATCAAGTAAGCAGCAAGTTGGTCATCCAATATGGTGCGATTACACTAATTATGGCATCAAACTAAATGCATCTGTTAGACCAGTGAAATTGATTATCAGAAAACAGTCCCGAATGTTGTTTTGAAATGATTCTTGTGAAACAATTTGAGTTGAATTGGACATTTGCAATTTTTGGGTATTAAATTGAATCCATTTAACAAGTGAATATACGTAGACGGCTAGTTTTTTTCGGGTTCTTTTTCTTCTCCCCCAGAATTACTCTTTATGGTTTCAATTTCCAGACTCAAATTAGCTCCTTTCTAATTTGGTTGAGTGCTTTTTTCCTCTTTATTGGTAGGGCTATTCTTCAAGGTTGGCAGCTTTGGATTATACTGTATGCTTGTTTAGTGAGGTTTTTGTTACGACTCAAGGTGGGAACTTCCCACATTTTTTGATGGGTCAACGGAGATTCTTTTTTGATGGGCATGCAAAGACCATTAGGCCTGACAAGCGCAAGCTTGTTGTTCTCCTGCAGGATATGGAAATCAGGTGTTTTTCCTCTGCAATACATTATTTCTCTTCGTTATTCTACTGATTTTTTGCGAGCATATATGCATATCATATAGTGTGTGAAAATTTAAGAATTGGACTCTGATTCTAAATTCACAAGCTTGTGATGTTCTGACTTCTGTGATAGCCTGACAGTAGTTCAATAGGAGAGTGCATATATGGAGATGGCTTGTGGGGATGTGGGGCACCACTAGAAGTATTATCCTTTTAGGCGAGTTGAAATTCTGAAATTACTGGAAATCACATTTGAACACTAGTGGAAATATATTTTTCTTTTTTCCAAGAAATATGCAGGTTTTTTATTGACTATGGAACTTGTGGTAAAATTGTGCACATTTCTTAAGATATGCTTGAAGGTAAATTAAAAGCTGGAGTTTGGAGCCAGTGGTATCTGTTCTTGGCCTTTCTGAGTTCAAGGTTAGATTAGAACTCTAGGATTAGTGAAGGACCAATATGAAAAAATTTTAGTCATTGATGACATTACCCTTGATCTGCAGTTGGAAGACCTTTAAGGATCAGATGGGAGCAATGCTTGCTGAAAGTGATCGCAAGGGAGTGATGGTACCTAGAGTCAGAAAAATCAACAGAAAAACTTCCATTTATACATACCCTTTACCAGAATGTGGGTGTCTACTATCACACAACTCATCACTCAAATTAACACACACTACAAATATGCTCGAGTCCACAAGATAACCAACAAGATTTGTCCCCACGTTAGTATTTCTCCTGTACAGGCACAAATCGTGCATTGATAGTATTGTGCAGCTTGGTGTGGCCTGTTGATGAAAAGCCTAAAGTCTTGCGGGCAAAGCAGATGGCTATCGCAGTTAGCATGGAGAGATTCAGGAATTCCAGTTTTGATAATATAAGGAATTCTTCATCTGGTGTTATTGTTTAACTTTCTGCAAAAATGCATCGAGCTCTTCGAAACCTCGGTTAATTATATCTGTATCTAGTTTTTAAGTGTTGATTGAGTGCAAAAGGCAATTGTTGGTTTCAGGAGATTGACTTGCTAGCTCTGGTAAGGTGGGCCATATGAATACCCATTACTTCCTTTTTTTAACCTCTTCTATAGACTCGGTACAGTTGCTAAAATTTTTTCCCCTTGACATCTTTAATGTAATTATACTCGGCATGAATCGTCTTAAGTTTTATTTTTGTTCCTCTTTTTGTGCAAAAAATAAATTCTAACAGTTTCAACATTTCTGGAATGAGATTATTTGTTTGGCAGTGGGTAGAATGCTTCCATTCTTGTAAGTTAAGAATTTTTCAGTTCCCTAATTAATTTATACTCCCTATTTCTGAATAACAGATGTAACACGTATTAGACCAGACTCCTACAAACATTGTCAAGTTAAAAAGAATGAGGTATCTAAACCCTATACCTCCTTTGTCCTTTGACATATTATTTCCCAGCTTAACCAATGAATACTTCTCCTCTTATCAGCTTTTAAACCTTACCAGAAAGAATTCATCATTTGTTTTGAAACTCACCATAAATAGACAAAGGCAACATAGAACACTTATGCAATATCAAGCGACTTCAGAAAAATTTCTTTCCTGACCCAGGAAGTAGCTTTCCGTCCCAAGTCTAAAGTCGTTTCCAAATCCCATCCTCCAAGAGTGAGATTACTGGGTCTCGGTGTAGATTGTTTGAGTCCAATAGAGGCCCATTTCAGTAACACGTAGAAAGTTGTTTTTCAAGCTGCTTCGGCCCATTTTTAATTTTCACAATGCCTTTAGCAATTAGTCATACCACGCACGTGTGACTTGTTCATTAAACCAAACATATCTTAATCTCATGTCCTTTCTTCAAAAACAGAAGACTGTATATTCAATAAACGAAGTCGTTGGGCGACCTGTTTATTGCAACGGGCTGTCGTTCGACGACCAAAAGCATCCAAATCACTCGTCAAGACCATTATATTCCAAGGAAAGCGAAGTCTTTGAATTATTGGATAGACGACGTCGTGCGATGTGATGCTAGAAATTTCTTCACGGGCTAATTGGAAATGGACTTGAAGCATATCGTGACAGCAATACGCTACTGTGGCCAAGTTCAAGCACTCAGACACGGGAAATCGTTTCATTCTCGTCTGATCAAAACTGGGTATTCTCATAATGTATATATAGCCAGCAATTTGATATCAATGTATGTGCATTGCTCTTTTATAGACGATGCGCGTAGAGTGTTCGATGAAATGCCCCGTAAAAATATTGTTACTTGGACTACAATGGTCTCTGCATATATCAGTTGTGGAAAACCTCATGAATGTGTAAAACTTTATAAGCGAATGTTAGATTCTAATGCCGAGGTGCCTAATAGATTCATGTATTCCGTTATTTTGAAAGCGTGTGGTCTTGTGGGTGATATTGGATTGGGTAAAGTGATTCATAAGAGAATTTATAGAGAGAAATTATACAATGACATTATCTTAATGAATACCCTTTTGGATATGTATGTTAAATGTGGCAGTTTAGATGAAGCAAGGGAAGTTTTTGATGGGATTCTTCTGGATGCAAATTCTATTACATGGAATACAATTATTTCAGGATGTTGTAAGGAAGGGTTAATGGAAGAAGCAATGCATTTGTTTAATCAAATGCCAAACCCAAATACTGTTTCTTGGAATAGCATTATCGCTGGTTTTGTGGATAATAGGAGTTTATGTGCATTGGAGTTTGTTTGTAAGATGCACCGCCAAGGGCTTAAACTAGATGATTTCACATTTCCATGTGCTCTTAAATCATGTAGTTATGTTGGTTTCTTAGCAATGGGGGAACAGATTCACTGTTATGTTATAAAGTCAGGAGTTGCATCTAGCTGCTTTACCATGTCAGCAATGGTTGATATGTACTCAAATTGCAATAAGTTAAGTGAAGCAATTACGCTATTTGATCAGTACTCAGGTTGCAATGGTTCAGTTTCTGATAGCTTGGCACTCTGGAATTCTATGCTTTCTGGGTATGTGGTCAATGGACAAAATAGGCAAGCCCTTACTATGCTTTCAAAAATCCATCTTTCTGGTGCTTGTATAGATTCTTACACTTTCAGTGCTGCTTTGAAGGTCTGCATTAACCTGCTCGATTTAGGACTGGGTATTCAAGTGCATGGTTTGGTTGTTATCAGTGGGTATGAATTAGATTATGTTGTTGGAAGTGTCCTCATAGATTTCTATGCAAAACTTGGAAACATTAAGGATGCTTTTGGTCTTTTTCACAGGCTTCCGAAGAAAGATATTGTAGCTTGGTCTGGTTTAATCATTGGCTGTACAAAGATGGGATTAAACTCTTTAGCTTTTTCACTCTTCAGAGATATGGTTAATCTGGATCTTGAAGTTGATCAATATGTTATTTCCAATGTTCTAAAAATCTGTTCAAGTTTAGCATCTCTAAGAAGTGGCAAACAGGTTCACGCTTTCTGTATTAAGAATGGGTATGAAACTGAAGGCGTTACCGTTACAGCTTTAATTGACATGTACTCAAAATGTGGTGAAATTGAGGATGGCATAACTTTGTTTAATTCAATTCTTGACAGGGATGTTGTATGTTGGACAAGTGTCATTGTGGGTTGTGGGCAGAATGGAAGGGCAAACGACGCTGTAGAATTTTACCGAAAGATGGTAGAGATAGGGTTAAAGCCAAATGAAGTCACCTTTTTAGGTGCCCTTGCTGCCTGCAGACATGCTGGTCTCATTGAAGAGGCATGGAACATATTTAAGTCAATGAAATTTGATCATGGATTTGAACCTCAAATAGAACATTATTACTGTATGATTGATCTTCTTGGCCAAGCTGGATGTTTCAAGGAGGCAGAGAAATTAATATCTGAGATGCCATTTATGCCTGACAAAACCATATGGAGCTCCTTGCTAGGGGCATGTGCTACTCATAGGAACAGCGAACTGATTAGTACAATTGAAAAAAGGCTTCTTGCTACTTCTCCAGATGATCCTTCAATATATGTCATGCTTTCAAATGCTTATGCAACATTGGGAATGTGGGATAGTCTCAGCCAAGTAAGGGAAGGTGCTAGAAAATTGGGTATAAAAGAAGCTGGAACGAGCTGGATTGAGACTTGAAGTTAGGTGTATTCCCTGGCCCAAATGCATCTTGTCTGAACCTCAACTTAAGTGGTTAAAAAATTCTTATTGCTATTTAGCTATCAATCACGCTTGCCAAGGGTGTTCATTTAAGGAACATTACCTGTAAGTAAAAACCTGTTATCACGTTGCTGAAAACCAGGAGATGCAGAGAAATCATAAGAGATCATGAATATGACTTTCAGACATTCTCCATAAGAAAAGCTTTGGTAGAAAAGCTTAAATACCTGCTAATAATTGCAGTATATAATTACAGGTATTCTGAATTGCATGATTTGATGAATGGCACATGCACATCAAGGATTGCTACATGTTCTCATGCTCGTATCTTTTATTTTGGTTATAAATTAATCTTTCTGTTTATGTCTTTATTCAAGTTTCCTTGTTTTTCTTTCGAACATAATTTCACCACTCAACGGTGCATCCAGCTGACTGTTCCAAGATACAGATAAATTTCTCAAGTCAAATTGGGAGCAATTGGTAGGAGTAAGAAGGAAGAGCAACAACAAACATTAGTTATGCATGGAGGCAAGTAGCAAGGTTTGCTGTGATTCTGGAACCCATAAAAAGAAAAAGGAAAAGGAAAAGGAAAAGGAAAATAATGCAATCAATTTTTCCACCTTTATTCCATATTTGGAGTGCTATTATCTGGGCAGTTCATAAGCTTTGGGCAGTATTCTTGTTTAAGTCACATATTGATTGCAGATACTACAGTATAAAATTTGACCAGTCAACCTGTCTTGTTTTTACAGGAAAGGACTCTAAAGGGCACAAAAATAGAAGAAATGAGTAAACAACTAGAAGAGTCAACGGATTTAAAGGTTTGGGCTCCTTATTTTAATGACTGTTTTGCCGTGTCATACTTTTTGTACTTTCTCAACATTGGGGGCAATTTTGAAATAAGAGATGGCTGATAAAACATCTAAGATTCAAACATGATTTATTGCATATTAAAAAGTATCTGTCATGTAAATTGAAATTTCACTCCAGTCATTCCAAGTGTTATAGTTGATTTTTTGTTGGCATGTTTGGTCAAAATAGATTAAATAGGAGTTCATTTGAATTTAACAGAGCAATTTGATAATATTGGCCAACTGAAATTGATTAGGTTGAGGGATAAAGACTTAGGGTAAGTATTGGACTGAGCAAAATGATATTCTTTACAGTGATTTTCTCAGTTTTGTCTAAACCTGAGCACAGGTTGGGCCTAATTAGGTCAATTTTTTTAATTAGGCCTGAGTACAGCCCGACCCCAAAAAAATTGAAAATTTTTGTCCGGGCCCTGTCTGTCCCAAACTCAAGGGTACCTATATACTTTGCCTTGTCATTCCATGTCCAAGCGACGCCCAAACCGGAAGTTTCACGAGATATTTTCTTGCTCATTTATGATTTTTCATGAGGTCTGAAAACCTAAACTGTGCAAGTCAATAGGCCAAACACATAAAAATCTCGTCTTTGCAGAAAATATATTATGTCCTCAGCTTATAAAATTGTATATACTAAACATTTAATTTATAAAAATTATTTTGTTGAAATAGTGTATTTTATAAAATTATATCAATTAAATAATTATTAGATAATTAAAAAAAGTGAAAATATACTATTATTTTAAATATTGTGCTAACCATATATAACATCAATACTTTACAAATACAAGATAAAACTCTAAAAATTATTGTTGTAGTATGGAGAAGGATATAACATGTACAAAATTGACAAATCGAGGGGTGCGATACGATAAATTACCTATAATGTTTAATATTCCATATTGTTAAAGTTGCAAACTTTAAGATGAATTTATGTATCAACCCAAGTCAATATCACCCTAACCGGAAAATGCATAATCATGCTTGTGTACGTGTATGAACAAGCATGTTAAGATTGTAAATTTTGCGTTTGTCTATACATGCCCACTCCTCCTATCACATTTAATAATCATTTGCTTCAGACACAGACTTCCAAAAAAGTAATTAGATGAGATAAGATGGGATGGTCCTAAATAGTTAACCTGGTCCAGCCATTTGACCCTGACCTAACAGACATGAGCAAGCAACTCCAACATGGGTGGGTTCCAGCTGACCCAGAGACCATTTGTCACTGTTTATGGAAAGCTTCTATCCCTTGCTTTGTAAGGCTTCCTTCTATAGCTGTAATAGTTGTCTGTCTTGTACGCTCTTTTCAATTTTCTCATGCTACGCTTCTTTCTTCTTCAATCATTTCACTATTTGTCTCTCTCTAGTACTGCTTCTACATTATGAATCGTGCTTGTATTTCCTCTTTTCAGTGGGTCAATTCTCTTTTTTATCTTTTTCAATGACTCTAAAGCCAAAAGCACAGCACAAAAGCTACGCCCAACGGACATGGAAAAATTCCTCTGCGACCATTATTGGGAATTTCTTAATAACACTATAACATGACTAATTGACAGTTAGATGTGTTACTCACCTATTGAGGCACTGAGTTTGACATAGTGGTGATGGGTTCCAATACTTAAAAAATATACTAAGTGGAATAGTTCCCCAAGAAGGAAAGATGAAATTGATTTCCAATTTCAAAATCTTTCTAGAGATAATAGAAGTAGAGGCTATTAAGTCTTATTAAAACCCATGCTTGGATGCTGACCCTTTATGTTAGGAAATCAAGAAAAATTAGAAATGATTAGGCAATGAGTACAAAACAAGGGTCAATTAATATTAGTAAATCTTGGATAGAAATGCAACAGAAATCAAGAACGCCCATGCGCGACCACTGTTGCAGGCTACAAAACAAGGTTGGATATAACATAGTGGCTTGGCTTGTGGTGCCTGACCACTAACTGTCTAGCCTTTGTGGCTCATAGTTAGATCATTTAGTTCCAGCTCATATTAATTGGGGAACAAAATCAGTACATCAGCTCAGAATTTTCTGATCTTGAGCAACTCCAGTGTTGCTATTAGGTAGCATAAGTCTATTTTATTACAAATCTTGCCAGATCAGCACTCCCAACTCCCAAGTGCTCATTAGGACACATCCAGTCAAAAGATGGATATTTGGGATATCATTTCGTGGGTAGCAATTGCAAAGATCCTTCTTTTTTCTTTCTTAATTCTTATACCTCATAATAAAAAAGTGTCGAAGTTCGATATTTATTTTTTTGGACATATATTATTATTATTATTATTATTATTTAGTTATATACTATGTTATATAGAAACGGAAAGGAAAAAACGGAGAAACAATATGGGGAAACGTTTTTAAAATTCAAAATTATTAATAACTAGAAGTTTTCGTACATTTATATGAATGTTATTGTGGAGGAAGAGTTTCGAATCGTAGATCTCCTTCCTAAAATAATTTCTAACTTTGTGAAAATAAAAATTTGACCTTTGTAAGCTATTCCAAGCTTCTGATTCTATTGGTAAAATTAAAAATAAATACTAAATAAAAGAACAAAAATTTATTACTACTATGCTCTGGTAAGTAGACAACAGGGCATACGCCCAATGTACAATTAATGCCTTGCATGGGATACAAGTAAGATGCACCCCACCAATTTATATTGTTAATTATTTTCTCACAATCCCCAACTGTGTTTTTGGCAAAGTTGCAATATTTTCTTCTGCTACTGTTTCCTCGCATAAAAACAAATGAATATAAACATCATCTAAGATTTTTCCTGGATAAAGTCACAAAGCAATCAAACAAAATGGGTAAGCAAGCATTAAACCCCCCCCTTAAATAGTCACAAAGTACAAGAAATAAGCCAATAAATTAGACCCTACTACTAAAAACCTCCGTAGATAACAACAAAACAAGGCAAAATAGCCTTGGGATTGAACACATACAACTCATCCAAATTAGAGTAAACCCCCATAGCACCAGCTACAGAGTCATACTCCTCCATGTTACCTTCCATGCTCTTCTTAACTCTCCCAGCTATTACTCGGCAGACCAGCATCGCCCTCTTATCACTGTTATTGCCATTACTGTCCTCTAATAGTGCAGCTTTGTCATGAGCTTTACCACTTGTTGCGGTTGTAAGAATCCCATGTCCATGGACACCTCCAGTTGTGGATTCTTTAAACCCATTTTTGATAATGCTACACACGTTACAGTGTGGAATTGAATTGCACAAATTTGATGAACCATTTAGGCCTAGTGAGCAGGCAAAGCTAGTGCAGTAAAACCTGAGGAGCTCATTCCCATCTGCTATGCAACGTGGGTGCTTCTTTTGGAGTTTGTTGGCTTTGGCTTTGATGGAGTCTCTGTACTCTTCAAATTTGGTGATGGTTCTTTGAGTGTTGTGGACTTTTAGGATTCTGTCTATTTGGCAAATTGGTGCTTCTTTCTTTAGCCAGCTTGATTGGAATATGATTTCCACTATGTTCTTGCTTGTGTCCTCTGAACCTAGTTCAGATACTGTGAAGTGTGGTTCCAAAATCAGGAAGGTAAAAGAATTTGAATTGGTAATGATGGATTTTGTATGGACATATGTAATGGGTATATCGAAAGTACCAGCCAAAAGTAGAAAATATCACTCAAAACATAACATCAATTAAATTAACCCATATTTTTGTTTTTATGGCCTCGAAAAGCATTATACCATGAACTGAAAATTGATGAAAAGTGAAACCAACTATTTTGGTCCAACAAACAAATTATGAAATCTAAGTAGTATTAAAGTACAATAATTAAAGAGATATTGTAAAACTTGAAGGGAATAGTAAGTCACCTGCATGTCTAACTGCTTGATGAAGCTCCAGATTTTCAGGTTTTACAAAGATCTCACCACATTCAGGGCAAGAACAAATGCTACTTCTCAAAGAAGGGTCTCTAGTGAATCCAAGAACAGGATCCACCACCATTCTACACTCATAGCAGCCAGAGAATCTCCTGAATGGCATTCCTCTAAAAGACCCGACATTGCTTAGAGAGGAATTAGAAGATGCAGAAAGTGAAGAATTTGTAGAGGATAGAACCCCATTAATTTCATTTAGAGGAGTCTTCATGGATCTACTTGAGGTATCACTATTATTACTAGTTAAACCCATTGAAGCCCTTTTTCTTTGAATATCAGGAGACGCTATTTCAGGCCTGTGCATGACCTTTGTGTTGCTACATAGTGAGCCTGAACACTTAATTTTCTTGCATTTCTTGCTTGTTTCCTCCAAGGCTTGTTCTTGATTTTGATGATGTTTTTTCTCTTTCTTGTTCTGTTGCTGTTCTTGCTTTTGCTGTTGTGGTTGCTTTTGTTGCTTTAGTTCCTGTTCCTGCTTCTGCTGTTGCGTTTGCAAGTCTTTACAGGTAAAAAGGCCTCTTACAGCTAACCAAGAAGGTAGTTTTTCAGATTTTTGAGGGTGTTGGTTTCGGTTCTGCTTGATTTCTTTCATGGGTTTTTTTGAGGTTTTAGGTTTAGGTTGACCCATTGAAGAGTAAACTAGAATGTAGCTTAAGCCTTGAGCTTATAAAGAAATGGTAGATATTTGAGTTTTCTCCTCACATGCTCTAAACAACTGCGTATAAGACTAGTGGAAGTTGCAGAGAAGCTTTTGCTTTGTAGGGCGTTTTATCTGGATTTCGAAGTTATAATGGTCTATTAATATGGACAAAATTTTATTTATATTGGATTTATTGTTATGTAGATAACAATGTCATGATGGGAATCTGACCGTTCAATAACATAAGAGATACTCGGATCAGTAGCGGAAGAAATTAATATGGGTCCCCCAAACTATTAAATGGAGTATTTTTTTTTTTTTTATTTTCTTTTTTCAATTACGTCACTCTATTTCTATTCATTGTTGATCAAGTTTTTTGTCTCCACGTGTTGCCTCATTAAATATTAGAGGACTCACTAAAATAGGGTAAAGGGTATGTGACTAAAGTGTTAAAGTGGATCAAATTAATTATTTTAGACTGTCTAGAAGCCATACTAGATGTATAATTTAATTTAATGATTGTGTAGTCACTTTGACGGAAAGAGGAGCATAAATCCGACAATTATAAAACAAGTTTTGTAGCTTTTTGTTTTTTTTATACCATAAGATACTATGTTTAAGGGATATGTTATAATTTATACACTCAAATACTTACAATTTAAGTAAATTTCAATTAGAAAAACTATAAAATATATATTTTAATGAAAATTAACAAGAGAATCAAATCTAGAAGTATTAACTCGTGTTGCTAATTGTCACGACCCGATTCCATGGGCCGGACCGGCACTAGAGCCCAGGTAAGCTTAAGGCTCCCGAGGCCCGTAGTAAGCCTGAAACACTAAAAATTTACTATCTCAATATAATTTTGTTAATATTCAGCCCATACTGATAGGAAAATAAACTTCAAGATTCTATTAAATCTCGGCCCAAATTTAAAACATCTTAAACATTTACAAATTACCCTGCTTACAATACACTATATTTATAATATAGACTCACCAAATTTTTGTCTCTATAATAATATACGACTATAAATATACAAATTCTATAACTGCGGAGTTCACTAACAAATGAATACAGATAAGTCGTCGGACATTTATCTATTTAATAGATCAATACTAAAATTAGAGAAGTCTTTTCTAACAGTGAAAGAGCAGAGTTATAGCTGGGACTTAGAAAGAGCTACTTCCTGAAAGATTTAAACAAAAGAGATGTGAGTCTATTAATGAATAATAATTATTGCACATCAATACTAATTAGAGAAGTCTTTTCTAAACAGTGAAAGAGCGAGTTATAGCTCGGGACTTAGAAGAGCTACTATCCTGAAAGATTTAAACAAAAGAGATGTTTTGAGTCTATTAATGAATAATATTAATTGCCAACACACGCATTTCACACAAATGTATAACATATATTCATCTAGTCATCCGACTAGTTACTATGCTCACACAGCCCAGTCCACACAAATGCATATCAGCAGCACTCACAATTATTAAATCTTTCATAATAATCACATCACGTGGAAATTTAGTCCAGTGGCACCACCTGAAACCGCCAACGAGCCGTCCTCACACATGGCTCTGCCCTCTCATACATGGTGCACGCAGGGAGCGATCCCCATACGGGCCAACTGGTCTAAATGCCCTCACTGACCAGTCCTTCATTGTTTTTTCCCATTCTCTCTTTTCTTTTCCATACCAACAGGAGGGCAACCGGTGGTCTCTCCATCCAATCTAGATCATCAAGTGCTCACCACAGGAGGCCACCCTGCGGGCTACAATCAAATCTAGATTATCAGGTGCGCAACAACAAGAAGCCATCCTGTGAATTCCCATATAATCCATATCATCAGGTGCACACAGGGGCGCCGATCTCCCATTTTCCTGGCCGACGGTCAAATATCATATCATATTTAGGATCCATATCACAGACCGTCCTCACAAACCCATGGTGGTCCACTTCATCCCAATTCAACACAAACAAAGCATAGCATTATCACAACACAATTAATCAAACATTGCAATTAATTGCAGACATATTGATCAGTTGAACATCTAATGCAATGCAAAATTAGACACCATTCTCAAATGCAATTAAATAATTAAATAATTTTAATAATTAAATAAATACGCATTAACAATAAACAAAACAATAAAATAATGATAATAATAAACAATAACAATGAAAATAATTAAATACTTAGATTAATTAAATGATAATAAAGATAATAAATAAATATATTATAAGAGCATACTCATTTATTATGCTTAAGTTATAGAATTAATCTAAAAATAAACCTATTAATGTATGTTAATGAATTAAAACCATAGTTAAAATTAGTCTAAGTTCTATTGAAATTTCGGCAGCACCTCCCCTAAAAATTGGACTATCCACCTGTTTAGATAACACAGTATTATTATATATTTATCAGTCAATACACACAGCCCATCCCTCGAGCAATCAATCAAATCAAGTATCCATCCTCCTTAACATCAGTATCAACACCCAACTATCCCAACCATAAGTTCATAATTATAGCGACTTTCAACTTGTTCTAACAATACTCATAAGATTATTCGTTAAATCATAAACTGACCAAATTAATAGCTTTATGGTAATTAATCCGTTAAGTTGTTAAAAATCATTTTTAACAATAACTATTTATAACTACTATTTATTTAGATTCGATTCTTATATCAATACCAGAAGTGGTTAGGCTTTCGAAACCTTAGGTCATCCAAATTTCGCATCTAACCATCAACCTACTAAAACTCATCTTACTTTGCATTATGCACAACCAACTAGTTTTAGACTAATGATCATCTAATTAACTAATTAATTAATTCTAATTTATCAGTTTTAGACTAATGATCATCTAATTAACTAATTAATTAATTCTAATTTATCTCCTCCTCAAGTCGCCTAATTATAATATTAATTCATGTAGTTTATTTGACAATGTTAAAAATTAATTTGTAACTACATTATGCCAATTATCTAATTTCTAGCAAGGATGATATTTGATCGGTTATTTATTTGAATTCAATTTAATTATGTGATGGTTCTAAATTCGAAAGTTATAACACAAATCAGGAAATGGAACTTAGGGCGTACCGATCGAAATTCAGGTGACGATTCCACGATCCTCACAAAGAGAGGAAGATTCTGTCCCTTGGTGCCTTCCTTAGTGCCTCGCCGGCGGCCTCGCGGCCGGTCACCGTACCGCCATCGCCGCCAGCCGTCCACAGGTGGCCGGAAGTTGCGAATGCCCAGAAACGTGCAGGTTACCACCACCGACTCCAATTTTGTGAGGAGTCCAAATCTAACAATCATTTGTTGGGCTAGTGGCTCGCTTGCCGGAACAAGCCTGTCGACAGTATCCTTGCCTTGCCCGTCGGCCAATAGGCGTTTTAAACTTCCCTTCCAACCTAAAAGCTGTCGATTCTTGATGGAAACGTTCACACAGGATGGAGGAAATCGATTGGAGCTCACCTAGAGCTTTCTCGTCGCAGAATCATTCGATCCTTCGCCGGAGTTGCCTGCTGGGCGTCAGCTGAAAGAAGAGGCTCGCGTCGTCGCCGCTGAAGGCCTGATCGACGTGGAAGAAGGATCTGGCCAACAGTGACCGGCGGCATGAGAAGGGGATCGATCGTCACCCGCCATCGTAGTCTGGTGGCCGGAGAAGAAGGAGGGGGAAGAGGAGGGTGTCGCGCGCGGAGAGAGAAGAAGAAGAGGAGGGGAAAGAAGAAAGAAGAAAGGGTATGTCGGTTTTCTAGATGATTCCGGTTCGATTCGAACCGGTATTCGATCTATTTCACTGATTGGCTTTGAATTCTTTGCTCGGTCTTACAGGTTTTGACCACTAGGTTTGTTTGGATTATTGCGTGTGGGTTTTTTTCGAAAAATCGAATATTGATTTTAAGGCCCGGTTCGATTTAATTTATTTATTAGGCTACGGTTCCATAATATTTTCGTCCATTTCCTCAATAGGTTAATTAAAATATGAACGATATCAATATTCGATTCGATAACTTGAGTTTCCTTTTGATTTGTCAAAATTTTAAGTATTCTCGATCGAAATTTCCCGAATAATTCTGCCCCTTGGGGCTTGGACCAAAAATTTCTAAAATTTTGGGCTCGTAATTGAGACTAGTAATTACATTTACAGGCCAACACGGTCAAATTCTCGATTATTTATTACATTTACAGCCCACACGGTCAAAATTCTCGATTTTTAATTAAATAAAAATTTAAAAGTTTCAAAAATAAAAATTCGGGGTGTTTCACTAATCCGCAAATTTATAATTTTAACTTTGATTTTGAAATTTCAATAAAAAATATTTTTTCTAAAGTAATCTTTCCGTTTCAAATATAAATCATTTTGAATACTTTAAAGAATAATAAATCATCTTTTTATAATTTAACCTTTATTTAATGATGTGAGGGGAGAGTAATGTGTAATAAAAAAAAGTAATTTGGTCAAATTATTTTTGATTTTATCACACTTTAAAGAAATTAATTACGTTCTTAATTTATGTATAAAAATGTTAAATAACTTGTATTTTGAGATAAGAAAGTAAAGAGCAGTGGAAGTATTAAGAAAAAGTTGAATGACACTTTGATTTGGATTAATATTATTCATAACTTTGTAAAAATGGATATTGTAATCCCAGAAGAAAAGAAGCAAAATGAGGAGCTAATGGAAAAGGAAATGGGTTCAACAAATTCATCGATGAACTAGCCCTAGCCCTAGCCCTAATCCTGTTGGCATCCTCAGGTATATTTTTGGGCTTAAGAGCCACAAATCACCAACAAGAAGTTGCACACTAATTACACCATAATGACAATGGCTTTTCTTATTGGGAAAAGCTGCAGCCTGCATGATTCCTTTTGCCTCAAAATCATACCAGCCCATATGCTTTGGAACAAAGCTTTTTACTTTAATAATAATAATAATTAGCTTAATTAAATCCAATCTCAAAACTCTCATATTAAGAAATTTAATGGTCTGTCAACTCTTGCTTTTTACCTCCAACCAACCCAAAATATTCCTAAGCCAATTTTTAACTGTAAAAGAAAACCATAGTTCTAGTAACCGTTAGGAAGGTGAGAATAGTAGTACTATAGAAAAGCAATTTTAATTCAAATAGGGGTTTAATTTTCATTATCTAAAGCTAAAGATTAGAGCTTTAATAACATTTTGCTTTATGTTTAAAGTTTTTGTTTGTTGGATAACATTTTTGTTGGGAGAGAACACAAGTACAATATGCTTTATATATTCTGCCTTTGGCATGGGAAAAGAGGTTTTGTTTTAGCAAGATTTAGTGGTAGATTGTTTAATTATACAAAAGTTGTACAAAATTGAGAAAAAAACAAAAATAAATAAGACAAGATTGGCAAGTAGAGCCTCTATTTGAATTTTGAAGAAGCACTTTGATACGATAAAATAAGGCTTTTTTGCATTTCAATTTCAAAACAGAATCATTGAAAAGAATGAAAATTATAAATTTATATAGTTCACTGGGAAGCAGAATTAGTGGAGTCTGAACTCACACCAGTAGTTGCCCAGATAAGAGAAGGCATACATTTATGAAGCTATGAATATCATAATACTTAATAAATAAACCCTAATTCTTCTACCATTTCTCACTTCCCACTTCCCAATGTTTATTTGAGGTTGTTAATTGTTACTCCGTTCTCTTTATACAGACAATTTTTTTTTTTTTAGTGTTCTTTTTATATAGAAAATTTTTCTTTTTTTGGTAATATTGACAAAAAATCAATATGAAACCAATACTACCCTTTTCTTATTCTTTATGAAAGTTTTATTAAGGGAGATTATCAAAGTAATGGTAGACAACAGTGTAGATGGACGTTGATTATGAAGAAAATTTGGTGATAGAATTGTTATTCTTTAAATTTACATTGGAAAAATAAATATGGTCCAATTAAGAAAATATGTTCTAATTGAGATAGAATTTGAGTTTTAAAATAGCTCAAAATTTAGAAATAGAGCACAGCTAAGAGTTGTCATTTTACACTTTGGGCTATTTTTTTATGAAGTAATTCCTTTTTTTAATGCAACTTAATACAAAGAGAGACTAATAATAAGTTTCCCTCAAAGGCTATAATATAACTTTTTTTTTTTTTTTTTTTTTTTTAATACAAGAGAGACTAATAATAAGTTTCCCTCAAAGGCTATAATATAACTTTTTTTTTTTTTTTTTTTTTTTTGCCAATCGTTTTGATTTTTTGGTCCCGATTTATGATTTATGTGTACATTTTAGAGGACAATAATTATTATATTTTGGTCCAATTTTTTTTTTTTTTTTTTTTTTTGAAGTTAGTCGCATTTTAATAATTGATCCAAATTTTTTTAGGAAACCAACATATTTATCAAATTTTCAACTAAGGATGTAGAATTGAGTTTCAAAGATTTGAATTTTTTATTTCCCTAATCAAAAGAGAACAAATGCGATTTATTGCGTAATTCAACTAAGACATATTATTAAAGAGCATTTTCAATTTTAAATAAAGAGTTAACTGGTGATACTAGTTTTTTTTTTTTTTTTTTTTTTTGCAATCGTTTGATTTTTGGTCCGATTTATGATTTATGTGTACATTTTAGAGGACATATTATTATATTTGTCCAAATTTTTGAGTAGTCCAATTTATAAATTGGATCCAATTTTTTAGGAAACCAACATATTTATCAAAATTTCAACTAAGGATGTAGAATTGAGTTTCAAAGATTTGAATTTTTATTCCCTAATCAAAGAAGACAAATGCATTTATTGCGTTATTCAACCAAGACATATTATTAAAGACAATTTTACATTTTAAATAAAGAGTTAATGTGATACTAGGGGTATATTAGGAAAAATTAAGGAAAAATAGTTAGTTACACTTATTTCTTAATCTTGGTAAAAATATGATTTTGCCTATATAAAAAAAAAAAACACAGGAGAGAGTAGTATAAAGTACTGTACACACTTTTGTAAATAAGTGTAAATCGAAAAATATTAAGGAAACATATAAGGAAATGATTATAAATTTGATTAAATTGATTAAAATTTTAGAAAATTGTAAAAATAGCTAATGTGTTTAATACTTTCTATATCTCAAAATACAAGTTGTTTAAGATTTTTGCATAGAAATTAAAAAATCCTATTAATTCTCTGACTTATATTTATTCCTAAATATAAGTCATTTTTTAGTGATTATTTTATCTCAAAATATAAGTCCTTTTGATTATTTCAAGGAGTAATAAATAATATTTTTTTAATATTATCCTTATTTACATTAGATACAATAAATACTTTCACAAGTAACTATTAGTTTTGAGATAAAATGATAATTTGGTCAAATTATCATTGATTTCGTTATAATCTATAAGAATTAATTGCTTCCTTAATCCTTGTGTAAAAATCTTAAACGACTTATATTTTAGAACAGATAGAGTAAATTATAACAAAATCAAAGGTAATTTGATCAAATTACTATTTATCTCAAAACTAAGGGTAACTTTTAAATATAGTAATTATATCTAACATAATAAAGGTAACATCGGAAAAATATCATTTGTTACTCCTTAAAATACTTAAAATGACTTATACTTTAAAATGAATATGGTATATAAGCGTAAAATTGAAAAAAAGCCTATTAACTACTTTTTAATTCTCAAAAGAGTTGTATTTAAAAACTACTCTATAATAAGTTATGTTTATGGACAAATAGAGTATTATTTTGCTTCCTAATAATTGATAATATCCTTTGATAACATGCGTAAAGCAAGATGATGATCGTAAACATTTTGTATAATTACAGAATTATAAGTATGTTTAATTATTAAGACTTTAATAAGAGGCAATGCTCAGCTTTTATAAGCCTTTAACCAATCAAGACTTGCTCGGGATCATATAGAAAAAAAAAAAAAAAAAGACTGAAATTTGCAAAAGAGACCAATAATTATTTGCTTCATTCATATTATGTCTACTTTACCCTTCTTCGAGGCTATTTTTATTCCAAAGTTTATATATTTGTAGGGCAGATCATGCTGGAGTTGAGAATATATAGATATCACTTTATGGAAAATCAATTTTATATTTATGTATTTTTAGGATTAACTCGATTGGTAATTTATCTATACTATATATAAATGTAGGAATAAGAGGAGAATAATGAGATTTTTTATATCACCCTCAATAAAATTTAAAGTATTATAAAATAACTTTAGTCGTAGCCATCTTGTGAATGATATATATGATCCACCATTCTAAATTCCGTTATATATTTATAGTATAAAGTGTAGTATAATCAACCCATTCAATGCCCTTTATAATTATTTTAAACATTCATTTAGCTAATATATTGTGTGAAAATTAATATATAACACTTGTTGATATGCAGCCAATATCTAATTTGGTATAGACGGTTTCATTTGTGAAATTCATTCTACTTTAAAAAATTAAATTCTACGACTATTTGCAATTGAATTGTTTACTGCAAATTGATTTATTTCAAACATTGGTAGCCCATATCTTTACAGTAGGCCGAACACACAGCGGCCCGATTAAATTTTAAGGAACTGGGCTTTTCAAAAAAGTCCAAATCGCCGAATGAGCCCACTTTCAGCCCATTAGATACGCCTAGAGCGCCAATATACCATTTCAAATCTCAATCTGCGTTTTGCAAATTGGCAATTGCCAGTGACCAGTGACCAGTGATGATTGATCAGTGAGTGTTGCTTCGTTCTCTTTCAAATCTCTCTCCTTCTCCATGGACTTAGCCAAAACCCTGAAATTTGCTTGTCATTTTTTTTTGTCTCTGTGACCTATTATTGAACCTCTCTCATACGGAAATGCCGTTAAGATCCGGCCATGGACGGGAAGGCTAACCTTCCGGTCCCAGCTGTTCCTCCGTCAAAGGATCTCGTCCATCCTATCAACGCTGATACGACGTCGTCCTCTTCATCGTCTTTCTCTTCCTCCTCCCCGCCGGACTTTCTCCGGCATGTTCAAGCCGCTTTCAAGCGCCACCGGCCCGTCGGTACACTTCGTATTTCTCTATTAATATGCGTATGTGCATGTATGATATGGTTTTCGTAGTTCGTTAGTATTTGTAATTTGTGTAATTAGGGTTTTAATTGGTTTGAACCCATTTTAGATTGCTAAAAGGGTGAAATTAAAGTTTCTTGTTGGATTTTACTGTGATATGCTTAGATTAGATCTGCTAGGTTAGTGCATTTTTTGGATGATATTAGCTCAGCATTGTCAATTTCAGATTGTGGACTACTACAAATTTTTGGCGGGATGTGCTTTCTTTGTTTTTTCACCTTTTATATATATAAAAAAAAAAGGCTATTGTGTGATTATGTTCAATTAAAAAAGGTTAAGCTTGATTGTGTTGAATTATTTGATGAAGAACTTCTGCAGGTTTGCATTTTGTTGATGTCTCCCATATAGGAACGTGGATACTAAAGTTCTAATGATATTGTTAAAAGATAGGAACTCCTGTAAGATTTGAATCAGAAATTTTGACTGTTCAAGGAATTTATTTATTTAGAAATGAAAATATTTCAATTATCAATTTTGGCTATTCAAGTACAAAGCTTGTTGACTAGCCAACTGCTTTGTATGTTTGTTAGGTACCATGCAGACAAAAAGACTAATGCCAAAACGGATGTTGGTTCCACAACGCGAAACATCTGAACCTGCAGCTTCTTGTGTGGGTCCTAGGATTGGTGTGAAGCAGTCTCAGGATGTCATTCTATCAAGCCAGGGTCATGCCACAAAAGATTCAGTTATGCAACTAAAGAATTCAGTTGCTTTTGTTGGAGAAACTCAAGAAGATGCATCAATTACCCCTCCTTCCACTTTAGGCACCATCACAAAGACCTCAAATGAAAATTTCAAACCATCTGATGTGCAGAGAGATCAATCCAAGCATGTTATTGATTGTAAAGAGAATAATCCAATGCCCTTGTCACATGTAGAAGCTCATAATCTTGATGGCAAGAGAAAGGTCCAATTTTCAATGGAAAATAATGCCACTTCACAAGGTAATCTGCTTTTACCTATTATTTTGACTTTGTTGCTCAAAGTCAGCTTTGCTGTATGTTCCCCTTGTCCACATTCTCTGTTATTGCGGTTTTCTTTAAAAGTTTCTGAACTCTTGCTGATGGGAAATAATTCTTGAATTTGTCACTATGCTTTTGGTATACTTTTTTGCCTTTGCCTCCAACATGCAGGGGCCGATGATCAAATGGCCACTGGATTGGACGACTTATCTTCTTATATGGATTCACTTGCATTGACAGAAATGGAATGGGACGTCAGCAATCAAGTAGAGGCATTAACCGCGGTCAATAATGAATTAAAGCGCCAGAATTTTCACGACATGGAATCTGAGATCAGTTTGAGGAGTGATGGTGGAGTACCTTTGTTGCCAAAAAGTACCATGGTTGTTCAGGACCAACTACATCAATTTAGGAACTTTTTAAGCCAACCTGCTGCCCAATCTTCAGTTGTTGGACAATCATGTGCAACCACAACATCTGTCCATTCTACATCAGCACCCATGCTTAACTCAACAACCTATTGCCATCGTTCACATGCAGAAACTGCTACTCATGTGGCAATTGAACCATCGGGTGATATTAATGTGAATTCTCAGCATATGAGTCAAGGAACTATGGAGCAGCTGTCTTATCCTTCATTAAAGGACATGAGCAGGATGCACATTGACCAGATAACCACTGCAGCTCAAGCTTCAACATCTACTATTGATGTCCAAATCAAAGAACATCACCTGACAAGGGAGAAACAGGGAAGTTTGGCCAAGGAAACTGACACTGAAAAGAATCCTTCTTATGTTGGCGATTACCCAACGAAAGAGAGGGCATTTGCAGGTGATGTTAATGATGTACAATCTCTGGATCCATTGCCCAAAAATGCATCTTCAGATATGAAGTTGGAGACTTCTAGACCAGAAAGACAAGAAAAGGTTACAAGTAGTAAAGGTGCATCAGTGCCTCGTAAAAAGAATTATGACCCTGACATGTTCTTTAAAGTTAATGGCAAGCTCTATCAAAGGCTTGGTAAGATAGGTAGTGGAGGAAGCAGTGAGGTTCACAAAGTCATTTCCTCAGACTGTACAATCTATGCACTCAAGAAAATCAAGCTCAAGGGCCGTGATTATGCAACTGCATATGGTTTTTGTCAGGAAATCGAGTATCTAAACAAATTGAAGGGAAAAAACAACATTATACAGTTAATAGACTATGAGGTACTCAATTGAAACTGAAAACGTTTTCTGCATTAATTAGGATGCAGATAATTTTATGCCAATTATGACTGCATGTAAAATCTTCCTATGCAAATCTCCTATTATGCTTTGATGAGAAACTTAAATTTTGCATAACACCTAAAGGCTATTATAGATCTATTTTATTTGGTGTTTTTCTAATACTCTCTTTTGGTATTAGGTGACAGATAAGAGTTTGCTCCGTGAAGTCATGAATGGTTCCATGAGTAATAAAGATGGCAGGGTTAAGGATGATAGATATATATACATGGTCCTTGAATATGGGGAAATTGATTTGGCTCACATGCTGTCACAGAAATGGAAGGAAATAGATGGCACTGATCAGAGCATAGATGAGAATTGGCTCAGATTTTACTGGCAGGTCCTTTGAGTACACATTACATTGTCTTGTAGTTGCTAATTATATTTGTCGTTATGCCTGAAGGTTTTTCTGTGAAAATTGTTTCCTGTTTGATTCTGGTTAAAGCTGGCTAAGTCATTTGAACTTTAAAAGTGGGGAACAACTTTCCATTTTCTTTTTTGTTTTCTAGGGACACTAGTCTAACCAATGGAACTTGTGACTGCATAAGTTGAATCAGTTCTTATGTTTAACGTGAACTAGATTATTGTTGTTTCATCTTCCTAATAGTTGTCTCTCTTTTTTCTATGTAATAGCGGTTAATAGCTGGGTGTGTTAGCCTGCATAAAGAGAAATCTTTGCAAGTTACTGGTCGCAGCATTGCCTTAATCTTATAGCACTAATTTCTAATGACCTAAATACACTTCAAAAATTTTTGTAGTTTTTAGACACAATGAATCTTGTGTACTGTCCCGAAATGAAAGATTGACATTTGCTTAAAAAATTTTGCAGCAAATACTTCAAGCTGTCAACACTATACATGAGGAGCGCATAGTGCACTCTGACTTGAAGCCAGCTAATTTTCTTCTCGTCAAAGGTTCTCTAAAGTTGATTGATTTTGGCATTGCCAAAGCCATAATGAGCGATACAACAAATATTCAAAGGGATTCACAGGTAAACTTCACTTTAGAAATGTGATTGTCGTCAGTTTGTGACCCTTTCTGGTGACTTGCTGGATCTTTGCTATTTGCCCATACTGCTGCTACTTTCTTTTATATTTTTATGGGAGTAATCGTTGCATTTAATAAGTGCAATATCTATACGTTTCAAATTGTCCATTGGAAGCCACACTTGGTTAACAAGCATCATGCATTTTGTTGATATTTAATGCCATCTACTGATTCCCAGTGTGCAATCTCAGAATAGCAGTCCCCAATGCTAAATTGCTAATGCTTTTGTCTTGCAGAAAGTAATGTCTTCTTTATGTGATTTTCCTTTTTTTTGGGTTTTTGATCCACAGACTCTGCTAAAACTTGCTGTTCTAAAAAATTATTTGAATTTGATTACATTTCTTCATATGAATTATGATTAGTCAGCATTACAAGGTGGTCCCTTGTGTTGTTTCTAATCAAAATTATTTTTGTTAACTAGTGTTGGATATTGAATATTAGTGAAAGTGATTGCTGATGAAAATTTGAGTTGATGTTATCTTTTTCAGAACATGAAATGCCTATCTATGGATTTATTATCATGAATTCTCATTCTCATTCTGATTTTTTTTTAGTGTTATTCAAAAAAACCATTGAAATTTCTGCTTTGTTTGTTGATCTGGATTCATCAGCCACCAATTCTCCTTGCTATGATTTTGTGCATTCGGTATATTGTTGCAAGAATTTTTCACTCATAAGTTTGCTTAGTTGTTCAAATTCTACTATGCAGGTAGGCACTCTGAGCTACATGTCTCCTGAGGCATTCTTGTGCAATGAGAGTGATGCAAATGGAAACACAATCAAGTGTGGTCGGCCTTCAGATATTTGGTCTCTTGGCTGTATACTTTATCAAATGGTATATGGGAGGACCCCATTTGCAGAGTACAAGACTTTCTGGGCAAAGTTCAAAGTTATAACAGACCCAAACCATGAAATAACTTATGGTCCAGTTTCAAATCCATGGCTTCTTGATCTTATGAAAAAATGTCTTGCCTGGGATCGAAATGAAAGATGGAGAATTCCTGAACTACTCAAACACCCTTTTCTCGTTCCCCCAGTCCCTCACCAGTCATCCTTGCCTCAAGAGCAAGGCTTTATGCTGCTTCAACTCGTTGCAGATGCTTGTGCTAATAACCAGGAAGCCTCTAAGCTCTGTCGTGAGCTCCAACAACTACTTAGAGACCCAGTCACTACTGTAACATCTCAGTCATTATTAACATCGAGAGACCAACAATGTAAGTTGCTCTCACAAATATGTAAACTTTCCTTACAATTGAGGGAGTGTTTGTCAAAGCTGGAAATAGAGAAATAGATTCATTTTCAGATGTAAAAATGTGTTCAAGTGTGAAGATCCTTTTTGCTCGAATGGAATTGTGGAAATTCTTCTATGCTATTCCATCTGTTTGTAATATGTAATCATGCCTGTTGTGTTATTGTGTTGGAATAGAACAGGAATTATGCTAAGCTCTCCTATTTGGACGATGGGTAGAACCTTTCATTGATGTTGGAAACACACTTGCGGAAACTGTAGCAGTTTCGGCCTAAGTGGATTGATATTATTATTCCGTTGAATAGAAATTTTTGTAATTATGAGATTTTATTTGACTTCTGGTTCCTTTTTATACTAATTTAGATAACCTTTGAATTTAATACGTATAAAAATTTGGACTTTGCAAGAGGTCAAAATCTTCAAACAATTCTAAGAGTACTTGTAGGCTGTAGCTACACATTTTTTACACACTGATTTTCATCCTACCCTTGAGGTAAACTTGAATAATAGATCTGTCACAAATACTAAATTCAAAATTTTCTTCTTTTACAAAATCTTGCCCGACTAGATTCTAGTCCTAGAAGATGTGAAATCTATTTCTCCAAAAACTATATAAGAATGTTGGTGGCAAGCTAGAGGCAAAGAATTGAACACCAAAAGCATCAGATTCAAATATAACTATGGAAGTTATTTCAATGAACACGAGTAATATGTCACGTGTGGACCTTAATTGCTATGGAAGTTACAGAGGATAATTTCTTCTTTGTTGTAAGTTTTGCCTGTATTTATTTTTGGCAATTGTATTGATCTAGATGGGTCTTTGCGTTATTTTGTCAACTCTATTTGAGCTGTACCAATTATGTAGAACCAACCCAACTGATAAAGTTGGCATTTTTATATGGTTGGGCCCAAATCCAACGCAATAGTAATGAAAATAAACACTTGATAGAGAGAAAGAGGCTCATTCTTCAACTCCAAAGAGTCGAGAACCAACCCAAGAGATAAAGTTGGCATTTTTATATGGGTGTAATGTCAAAGATAAACACGCCTTTCAAAAAAAAAAAAAAATGTCAAAGATAAACACTTGCAAGTGAGAAAGAAAGGAGAGAACAGTTTAGCGGTGAAAAGGCAGCGATTCATTTCTAGGGTCAGTAGAAACTCATAAGCCTTTATGTTGAAGGAAACCGTTCAATTCCTCCATACAGAGAAGAGAACAGGAGTTGTCTTGGGTGATAGTTGTTGAGTTTTCTCTGCGTCGATTGGCTCAAAAAGAGAGTTTGTTGAGTGACCACTACTGGACCCACATGAGTTGTTCTTTCTACATTGACTCAAAAAGAGAGTTTGTTGAGTGACCACTACTGGACCCACATGAGTTGTTCTTTCTACATTGACTCAAAAAGAGAGTTTGTTGAGTGACCACTACTGGACCCACATGAGTTGTTCTTTCTACATTGACTCAAAAAGAGAGTTTGTTGAGTGACCACTACTGGACCCACATGAGTTGTTCTTTCTACATTGACTCAAAAAGAGAGTTTGTTGAGTGACCACTACTGGACCCACATGAGTTGTTCTTTCTACATTGACTCAAAAAGAGAGTTTGTTGAGTGACCACTACTGGACCCACATGAGTTGTTCTTTCTACATTGACTCAAAAAGAGAGTTTGTTGAGTGACCACTACTGGACCCACATGAGTTGTTCTTTCTACATTGACTCAAAAAGAGAGTTTGTTGAGTGACCACTACTGGACCCACATGAGTTGTTCTTTCTACATTGACTCAAAAAGAGAGTTTGTTGAGTGACCACTACTGGACCCACATGAGTTGTTCTTTCTACATTGACTGCTGACTTTCTTAATTGGATTAAATTAGTTGTGAAACCAGAGTAGGAGACTCAATCCCATCCTAGTTGTTTCTTCTGGGTTTTAAACTTTCAGTTCCTACAGACATTTTCAGTTCCTAGATATCCAAAAGTATGCCTCAAATCTACTTCACTCGAAAATCAGATAATCGAACAGAAACATTTTTTGCAGAGACGACAATGAACAAAATAGGTAAGAGTTGTTCAGCTTATTTGATTTCAATGTATGAAAGTCTCCCTGATTATCTCATGTCCTGCTTAGACTATTGTGCTATAGTTACCAAGAGATATCCTGTAGTGAAGGATAAAATAGTTCGGCTTTTATTGGCTGAATCTCTGATACTAGAAATAGAAGGTGAAATCATAGATAATACCGCAAAAAACATTATTGAGGAGTTAATTGATCTAGGGGTGGTACAAGAAAAAAACAGTTGGCATGAAATGGAAGTTCCTGAGCTATATAGCAAATTATGTCTTGTTGAGGTGGATGAAATGGAGTTTTTTGCTAAAGCTGTGAATTTACCTGTTCGGGCTGTAATAGAAGATGACGGGAAGGACATTCCTCCTGACTTCAGAACCCTTCAAATTCGTTCTCTGTTTTTGATTACTGCAGACAGACGTTCTTCTTCTTTTGCTTCTACTCCAGGCCTTTCTCCGGCATATTTGGCAACTATTTGCAAGTTGAAGCGTCTATTGGTTTTAGATTTGGATGGCAAGTTAGAGAGATTACCTGAAGAAGTTTGCAATTTGGTTCACCTGAGATATTTGGGCTTGTATTGGTCATATCTGGATGAACTTCCACACACATTAGGCAATCTTCAAAACTTACAAACTCTGGATATAAGCGGCTGCGGACAGCTCATGGACGAGTTGCCGATGCAAGTCTTGAATATTCAACAATTGAGACACCTGATAATGTCCAAGACCATCAATGATCGCGAAATTAGAGTTTCAAGTGGGATTAGAACATTGAAAAATCTTCATACTTTAGATGGTGTATATGCTGGAGGAGGCATTGCCAATGAACTAGGCTCATTAACGCAACTGCAACGACTCAGTGTTAGGCGTGTGTCTGAAGATCATGCCAGTGAACTATTTGCAGCCATTACGAAGATGGAAAATCTTGTCTCTTTGTCACTTCAAGCTGAGGGACACCGTCGTTCACTTCTTCCAGAGTTGGAATCATTTTCCCCTCCAACTTTTATTCAAGGTCTCACATTATTAGGTGGCCTTGTCGAAATTCCCATTTGGCTTGCTTCCATGGATAATCTCACTATGTTATCTTTATGTTATTCTAACCTATTAGAGAACCCTACCCCTGCTCTTCAATATCTTCCCAAATTAAAGCTTCTTTATATAGGTGATGCTTATAAAGTAAAGTGCATTGGCAAAGAGTTCTGTAAGGCAGGTGGGTTTCCAAAGCTTGAAACTCTTGTATTTTCTTCAGAGCGTTTCCTAGTTGAGTGGACAGAGATTGTCAATGGAGCTTTTCCAAGTTTAAGACATCTTGAATTTCACAACTGTATGAACTTGAGCTTTCTTCCTGAAGGCTTACAGAATATATCTACTCTTGAAGAATTGATTTTGTTTAATACACATAAAGACCTTAGAAGGCGATTACTGGGTGAAGAGAATTACAAGATCAAGCATATTTCAGAAGTCAAGATTTGGCCAAGGTGATGCTTTCGAAAACTCAAATCTCAATGAGCCTCCAAACAGTTGAGGTAATCTTCAAAATCTTATATTATCCAGTACCTTATCTATCCTACTGATAATGCTGTGTTTATTTCCAAGAATTTTAACCAGTGTTGATGTGGTGCTTAAAAGGTCTGTGTTTGTCTGATGTAAACTGCATTTTAATTAATGCTCTGAGTTTATTTCCAAGAACATTATACTCCTTGTCAATTTCATTCAATCATGTCTGAGCTCAATCTTGCAAAGAACTGAAAATGAAAAGAAAAACTAATCCAAAACAGTTTGAGTTAAGTACCAATCAAAGATAGAAAACCTGTGAGTTTCATGTTGCATTCTAAAATACTAGCCACATACAAAAAGGCCAAGTTAACAAAATTATTATCTGCCTTCGCTGGATAACGCATATAACTGAACATTTCAATGGACTTGCTGCATCCTCAAATACTAGCCATATACAAAAAGGTCAAGTTAACAGAACCATTGTTTGCCATCACTGGACAACACAGAAATTGAACATTTCTAGGAACTTGCATGGTTGAGAAGTAAATCACTTAATATCATTAGGTGTAAGTTTGAAAGACTCCCCAGCACGCGCTTGCTCCAATTTCAATAAGAGATCTTTTGTGAAAGGTGACTCTGTCCCATGAGTAATCTGCAGAATATCCAATGCTTTGGACAGTAAATCTATAGCAACCTGTGGGTTTCCATGATGCCTGTAAAAAAGTTTAGAACAACAATCAGTTGCTAGCTCGCTCAAAATGTCCTTTATGAATAACATTATCTCACAACAACGCCTTTGCTGTATTTATAAGTAGTGTGCATATAAAGTTATGAACAATCATTTCTTACAATACAAGCCTATTACCCAAATGATTTAGTTGTTGGATTTTGTTTCAAGTGTAAAATCATGAAAAATTAAATCTGATTCCAGATCCAAGTACTCAATTATTTCAGAAGACCATAAGGATATTATTGGTTGCCATTTCCCTGAAGTATACAATTGGAAAAGAAAAAATTGGTCCCAGACAAATTATTCGTGAGAAAATGAGATGTCCTAAATAGTTAGCTTGAGCAAATAGAAGGAAATAAAAAATGAAAACATTAAGAATGCAAAGCATCTAACCATTCAAGCTTCCCACAGGTATACTGAATATATACTTCTGAAAAAAAAAAAAAAGAAAGGAA